CTTTTGATTGATGATGGAGGAGATGTCGTGAAAGAATCAGAATGTACTAAGGATGCGTCTGATTTACGGAATATAAGATTACCATGGAATAAGATTGTTAAGAATGTTGTATTTTGTGTTTGATTGACTTAGTAGGAATGTAAGATTACCGTATTTAGTTAAAAGAATAAAAGATTATTGGAATGTATATTTGATCAAATTATCTTTATTATATATTTGTATAATATTACAAGTTAAAAAATATTTATATATTTTCTTTTAAAAAATTAAATTCATAATATTTATATAATTTTTTTATAAAATTAAAAATATAAAAAATGTTTAATGAAAAGATAAAATTTTATTTTAAGCCCTTAACTTTATATAAAATTTTAATTATAATTTTTTTTTGTAAATCTAAAATAATTTAAGGACAAATTTGTAATTTAGCCTTCGTATAATTTTATTATTCAATTACAGAAGAATAATATTTTTGAAAAAAAAATAAAAAATTAAGGACATTATAATCTAAAATGCCGATAATCCAATAATACCTAAAGAAAGGAAGATAATGACATTCCCGGTAATATACCTAAAAAATCCACTATTAGTAATCTTACATAACCAGAAATGGGATTCTCGACCTAATCAAACGGGAGAATGTGAATTTCATTTCTATAAGAATTTCACATTCCTCATCCAAACACACCCTAATTGTGGGAGGCTGTTTTGTGCACATTGTAAAGTTCCTTGGCATGCTGAGATTGAATGTGGGGGAGTTTCAAAGGTTGCATAAATATGAACGAGAGAGGGAAGATATCATGTTGATGAAGCTTGCCAAGGAAAAGAAGTGGGGTAGATGCCCTACATGCAGATTCGTTACTGAGAGAACCCAGGGCTGTAGGTTCATGAGATGCAGGTTGACGAAGCTTCCTCGAAGGTTGCTGGTTAATTTGGCTTATGCTCCAAATAGATAGAAAATTTTAGGAGGTATATTTGTCAAAGAGGAATCGTCACCCAATGTTGATTTGAAAGCTATCAATCTTCCAAGTGAGGGTTATCAATAAAGGAAAGGAAAGAAACTCCAAATGCATCAAAAAAAGAAAACAATTGAAAAGAGAAGAGAAAGATGGAATAGAGAGTACATCGATGGGTGCAGGGGTTATGACATTTATGGCTATGTAACTGAGAGATAAATTGGTAAGTTATGAAAATAAGGGGAAAAGATTTCATTTTCTTGTTTTGGGGGGTTCTAATTGTATGGGGTGATTTTATACTCACTATAAGTTATCAGAGAGAAATTAATAGAAGATGATTGAGACTCGAGACGAAGAAAGAAATGTATGGCTGGGTGTAATACCCCAATTTTATCCACTAAATTCGAGACAATAAAAAAATCAATTCAAAGTGATGTTGTTAATTTGATTCGGGTTACGATGTTAAAACAATTCTAAAGAGCTATCGAAGTTATGGCAGCACCTCAACCGAGCCCTCAACGACAGCGAACATCCGGTGGTCCCATGCATCCCCACAATCCACGTCAGCTCCACCAAACGCTCCAATCAGCATCCATGCATACACAAAAGACAAAAAGAAACAAAATAGTTGTAATTTTAATTTTGTTCAAAAAGAGAGAGATTGTTTTGTTTTCATATTTTTACTCTTTAAACTTTTGAGATGTTCTTCTATGTTTCTTAGCCATGTATGATTGTTTTTTAAAAAAAATAATTAAACCAAATGACATCATTTGTTATGATTTTTTAAGCCCCAATTTTATTTTTTTTATTATAGTTATATAATTATATTTAATATTTAATATGTTTTACCTTAAATATTATGTTGTAGTTGATTTGAATCATTTTGTTTCACTTGATTTTATGGTTTTTAATTTATATATGTTATGACTTGTGATATTTTTATACCTTTTAATATTGTAAACTTAAAAAAAAGTGTTACATATATATTAATATTGCTTTGAATATTATGTAAAATTGAAAAAAATATTATTTTATATAAAATCCGATTCAACCGCGGTTGAATCCGGTTGAACCAGTGAACCAATACCTTCACTGGTTCAATGTCCGGTCCGGTTTTAAAAAACATTGACCCGTCCTGGGGTATGATTCGCGTTATTTATGGTCCGGGTAACAATTAAAAATCAACTATTAACCCTTTAATTTTATTTGATTGCTTCAATTTTTGTTATGTACATTTTTGCCATGTGAATTTATGTTATTTTAATTTCAGCCTTTAAATTTCAGCATTTACATTTCAGTCCTTTAAATTCCAGCTTTTAATTTTCTGAATTGTTTTAATTTCAGTTTTCTTTTATTTTAGCCCTTTAACTTAATGTTTTAATCTCATCCTTGCATTTTTAAATTATTTTAATTTAGTCCTTTCAAGTACTTTAATTGCCTTTAATTTTCGCTTGCTAATTTTAGATCCTTTTTAATTTAGGTAAACTTTTAATTTGGTCTTCACTTTTGCTCAAGGTTCCATTTTAATTGTTCGAATAAAATATTTGGTTAAAATTGGTTAAGTTAATTTTTAGAGCCTCCATTATATAGGTTTAATTTCACACTTAGTCATTTAATTTATGAGAATTTTTTATTTGGTCCTCGCTTATACTCGAAGTTCCATTTTGAGTATTCAATTCAATAATTAACTTGGTATTTTTTATTTCTGATTTCGCAGACAAAAATTTTGATATTTTTTATAAAATAAAATATTTTATTAAAATTACCTGATTTTAGGTGATCCAAACTCACCTTAAAAATGATTGGTGACGACTCTCATCTTTTCATAAATTAATTATATTTTCCAAAAATGTGAGATTAGTGTTCCCGCGAAAATCGGTTACGACACTGGGTATTTCAGAATTTCATTTTTTGTACTTTAAAAAAAATTGAATAGTTCAAGTGATTATAACTCACAAGGTAATATTTATTTAGAATCTTTATCAACCATTAACAATAGGCTTAAATACACTGCAAACATAATTACTCGAACTCATGATTTTAAGCGAATTTTTTTTCTTTTTCTCAGCAAAATAAGATTTTATTCAATTGATCTGAAAGAAAACGGTTAACTCAGATTTGTGGATCTTATTAAAAACCTCTCTAGACCTATTTAGAGGAAAAGAATACACCACATATATGGAAACAAATATGCAACAAAACTAAAGAAGAAGAAAACACCAGACTAGACAAAGGCACATCGTAACTCCATACCAGCAAAACTAAAACAAACATACCCGCCTAGAACTCACTCTCCTTAGGCTTGACTTCACCACCAAACACACTTAAAATCATACAAGATAAACACCAACCACCCTTTAAAGCTTTCCATGAAGCAAAACCATTACTAAGCTTCCCAAATAACTCTGCTAGACAAACACGTTCACTCAAAACTTCATCGTATTGCATTCATAATTATGCGAAGGCCCTTAGAGTCCCAAACCAGTACTCCTTAGCACCTCAAATCAAACAGCCTCTGTTAACCAATAACACAAACATGAACTCATACCTCCCACAATCAATTATAATAAACCATTAAAAACTCAGACGCTTACCCAACCTACCAAAGCTATGAAGAGGGGTTGTCTCATCATACCTTCCTTTGCAAAGTGAACCGCCATGGAATTGCTATTTACGGATACGAATGAATTGCACCGAATCTATTTTTCTCATCAACTTATCAAAATCCATCAACAACGACTACCATCGCCAAAGGCAAGGACTCGCTTCACTAAGTCAGACCTCCTGCTTTACCAGCCACTAGGTTCGTACTTTTCAATTCTTTTTTTTATATGTATATTTTTATAAATAGAATTAAAATTTAGATATCAATTTAATATAATTTTCTTTTAAATATTAACTTCAAAGAAGTACCTAATTTAGATACTAACTTAGAGCAAATAAAATTTAGGATAAATGTTTATGTTAAATTATTATTTTTATTTCATGTTGATATTTAAATTTTATATTTAAAAAAACATATCTAATATTTAATTTAAGTTTCAATTTGGTACTCCTCGTTAAAAATTCACAATGATATTATTATTATTTATAATTTATATATGGTAACCTACAAGATATGATAAATTAAGAATTATATTATAAATTAAAAATAAATAAAGAATATTTTTAAGAAACCAATTAAACTCGGCTTAATTTAGAAAATACAAAACCAGAAGGAAGTTAAAATCTCCGTTTTTTCAGAGACGGATTGTAACTTCTCATGGATCAAAATGACGAAAATGCACTTACTTTATCCACAACAACCAATGATTTGCCACATTTGAAGGCTAATTTCGTAACAGGAACAACTCGCCTACGTGGGTTATTATTCAAAAAGCGAAACGGAACCATTTTTCCAGAAAAAAAAAAAAAACTAAAGAAAAAGTTTACGCAAGTAACGGAACGGGACGAACAGAATATCGGTGACGTGGAAGACTCAAAGTCCTACACGGCACTGGAAAAAACAAATAAAAAGATCGAAAATCAGATAAAATAATTAAAAAAAGAAAGCAGCGGTTTCTACGTCAAAAGCTAGACATCCTTTCTTTCTTTGTAGTACAGCTGCTAAGAGAGAGAAGGAGAAAAAAAGCAAGCAATGAGTGACACTCACTCTGTAAGTCTCTTGTTAGAAGTTTGATCTCTTTTTTTCTGAAACTTTGCTCAAATATCTGTTTGTTTTTCGTCTTGTAAATTGCCAGTATTTAAGGTTTTCACTTCAGAACCCAGTTTGCATTGCATGTTTGAAAATGGAAAGTTTTCAAGAGATGTTTTTTCTTTTCTGGGTGAGGGTAAACTGGCAATCCTTAGCTATGAGATAAAGTGACTGTCTTTGAGGTTTGCTAAGGCTTTGTTTGCTTAATCATTCTAGCATTGTTCTGTATATTTCATTTGATATGTATTATAAGGATTTACTCTTTGTTATATAATTCCTGTCCAGGCTAAACACTGATCAAAGCAACAGGAAAAGACGTGAAACTCTTGACCAGTGGTTGGAGTTGAGAGTTTGAGCTTTATAAACGGTCTGCTGTGTATGTAAACAATGGATTATTATCTTGATCCGTATTTCTCCTCCTCGTGGTTGACAGATGTGAACGTTAAGGAAATATCATCTTGGTTCCATGCTGAACCTCATCAACTAAATCAGGTGTTACCTAGTTCACTAGGAGTGTATCAAGATGATGGAAACGGTTCACCTTTAAGCATGATTGGTTCGAATCATAGCATGGAGTGTTTAGCTACACATGATAATAATCCACCTCTAGTTCACGTTGAAGCTGGTTTGATGTCTGGGGAAGGTGGATTACAAATGGATGGTGAAAATTGCAGTGGTAACTCTTCAAAAGAGTTGCTGAATGGAGGGTTTGGATTTGAAAGTCCGGGACTGCAATATAATACAGCTGTTCATTCAGAAGATCTTCCAGTTGTTGGTGATATGACCCCATCTCTTTCGTTTAATGAGAGAGGGCACATGATATGCAATGGAGGTGAAACTCTTTCTCCAATCCCACAATTATGGCATCTACAACACCATGACTCTGTTAGTTCCCTTCCCACTTTGATGAGACAAACCAGAATGCAAAGCTCTTATCTTCAAGGAGAGAGCGGAAATGTAGACGATGAAGGCAATATTGACAGAGTTATTGAGATTGATAAGATTCTGCAACCAGAGAATTTATCTGCATCCGTCAATCCAAAGGTATTAATCTTTAATAGTGGCCTAGTTTAGTTAGTATGGTTCTTTTAACTGGATCTACCAGTTGTGGTGGAAAAGCAAAGGCAGCAGCATTGTTTAAGTTTGTGCTTAGAATTTGAATTATCTTTTGTTGCTTATGTAATGTATCAGGGACAGCAAGATATGCAAAATTATATCTACTCTTCTTTTCCTGCTGATCACCGGATAACGAAGACTATGACCGGCTTACCATCTCCGCTGCAGGTTCGTGTAGACTTATTAAGCTTTTTATATACTGCTAGATACCAAGGTTGACAGTTTTAAACTTTTGATACAGAGTGCATCACCTAATCCAAACAATGGTTGCAATGGAACTGTGAAGCCTCGAGTACGAGCACGTCGAGGTCAAGCTACTGATCCACACAGCATTGCAGAGAGGGTCAGTTGTAAATTTTCCTGTTATCCAAATTTCATATCCTTTAGCTGGTTTTTGAGTTTAAAGCTTGTTCAATTATTTGTTCAAACGCAGCTTCGAAGAGAGAAGATAGCTGAAAGGATGAAGAACCTCCAAGAGCTTGTACCTAATTCCGTTAAGGTATTAACTGGAGTTCATTGGTTTTGCGTTTTATTACATTCCTGGTTTTACTGTCAACATTCTGGATAGCTTTTTTTTGTTTTTTACTTCTAAAGTTGCACTCAATATCTTGTAAGAACATACGAACTTCATGCATAAATTCTGCAGTTTTTACCCCATCTTAATTCAGTAACATATATAATCATTCTGCAGATCATAGGGAAAAGAGGATATTAAATTTCAAAGTAAATTTTGCCTTAAAAACACAATGATTAGCTGATGAACATTATTGACTAGTAATATTCTTCTTTTGATTAACATTGCAGACCGACAAGGCCTCTGTACTTGATGAAATCATACAGTATGTCAAATTTCTTCAACTCCAAGTCAAGGTAAGAACCTTGAATTATCCGAACAATTAAAAAATTTAACTGGAATTTCAGCTACCATCCATGAAGTCGGTGTTTCTGAAAAGCATTTGCAGATATTAAGCATGCGCAGGTTAGGGGCCGCTGCTGCAGTTGTTCCTCTCATCACTTATGGTCAAGCTGAGGTGTGCCAAATTCTTGCTTCCTTAACTTGATGAACGTTCACTATTAGGTATACGCCATAACAGTTGAGGCTAATTTCTGTTTTGTCAGGGATCTAATGGTTTATCACTGGCACCATTGTCGGGTGAAGGGTTTGATTTTCCACCATCTCCTGATCAAGTTGTTTTCGAGCAAGAAGTGGTTAAGCTCCTGGAATCTAATGTGACAAAGGCCGTGCAATATCTACAAAGTAAAGGTTTTTGCCTTATGCCGGTCGCACTAGCTGCTGCCATATCCAATGGTAAGGTGTCGTCATCCTCATCATCTCCAGCTCTGGTTTCCGAGGAGAGGAAGAAATATGACTTTTCCAACGGCCTCGTTCACAACACCTGCAGCAGCAGTGGCAGCAATACCATAGGCAGCATGCCTGGTGTTGGTACTCGTAATGTCAACTCCGATGGCAATTTTATGCCCGGAAAGCTCAATTCTGATACCATGGCCAATATTTGCAATGAAAAATTGACACCTTCAAACAAGAGGGAGTGAACACTCTGTGCACTACCAAATGACTGAATCCGAAAACCATAGACGGCAAACTAGACCTCTAATGTATGTCAATTAACCTAGTAGCATATAACACTTACTAGTCTATCTTTGTTCCCATTTCTGTTTTGTCTAAAAGTTGCTGATACAAACTGTCGGAGACTACAATAATTTGTAGATACAAACTCAGACTAGAGACTTTCTTTGTATTAAAAACAATCATCAAATCCTATTTCTCACAACAATAAAGAAGTGTTTACATTTGAAGCACTATGAAATTGTTTTACCTGAATTAACTCATTAGTAATAGAGGGGGGAAATTGGCTCGATAGTTTGAATCGAAACCGAACAAAATACAAATATATTCTAAAGTAAACTCCTATTTATCTATGTTTTGCAGAATACAGAATAATGGGGGGGGGGGGATTGGGGGAATGGCATGATCTGTATATGGGAACAACAATGAGGGCTAAGGTAAATACAATACAATAATTACATTCCTAATATCGTGCCTTTTATCTTATGCATAATATTGGAGGGGGGGAAATGCAAAAAAGATTGAAATTAAAAATGAAAGAGCCATAATTCTAAGTTGGGAGGGAAGGAATCTAAAGTGAGTCAAAGGTTTGTCAATAACCATTCACAGATTTGTGGGGTTTCTTCTTGAAATTTGAGATGCTACAGTTCGGACAAACGTACTCCAGCCCATCTGTCTTTGCATAATCCTGCCAATTAGAAGATGAATATATCAAGTTAATTGCAATCCGATAGAACAGGTTCAACCAAGAAAACAGAATCGACTCAAAATTCCATAAAGGTGACACTAGTATTGTACAAGTTGTGTTATATTTGGTGCTTCAGCACACGTATCAAACATATTTTTAGTTGTGGTTATAGCACAATTCTACTAATCTCATTCAAAATCATACAAAATACAGTTTATGTGTAACATCCGCAATACCGAGTTAGTGACCAAATTGTAAAGTTTCAGAATTTGGTGACTAAAGTAGAAGAATGAAATAGTTCAATGATTATTTGATATATATGATGAAGGTTATTTAGTAATTATCAAAGGAAATAAAGGGCAAAAGGGTCAATTGACCAAGAAATGAATTAAAAATGGGATTGGTAAGGATAAATACAGGTGGAAAGGGAGAGAATTCTCCAGAGTTATCTTCTCCTTTCTTCTTCTTCTTCACGTGGAAGCCAAAAGCAAAGGTAAGTTTGATTTAGCTGTTGATTTCTTGAAAGTTTTAAGTTGGATTTGAGTCTTTGGGGGTTATATAAGCTTAAGGAAAGCTTATATAAGTTTAAAACACCAAATAGAGAGAATTAGAAATGAATTTCTATTAAGGGTTTATAAATGAACTTTTATTATAAAAAGGTTTTTGAAGTTCTAAGGATGAATTTGACTTGTCAAGGGTTTAATTAAGAAGTTAGAAGCAATAGAATTGATTTTGGAACATGTTGGAAATTTAGTGTAATTCTTTAATTACATATGGAGAATAGGATTTTGATGCTAAAGAGGTTATTAATGAATAGAAATGAGTTTGAATATGTGTATGTAAGTTGAGAACATGATAGGGGATGAAAGATGAAGCATTTGAGTTGATTTGAGTAGATTTTTGGGATTAAATTGAATTCTGAGCTATGTGCATCGATGCACATTCAAGGTGCACCGATGCATCAAGGGTAAATCTCTAGAAATTGTTCAGTGTGTATCGGTGCACAAGAAGTGCATCGATGCACCCATTAAAATAGAAACATCGAATGAGATTTATGCACCGATGCATAGATAGTGCATCGATGCACCCGTTTAGGGATGCATCGATACATGGGGTAGTGCATCGATGCATGCCTCTATTAAAAGTTGAAAATAGCTTTCTTTTTATCCTTTGGAGTGATAGTTTAGATTATATCAATTGGATATTGATATGTATCAATGTATGATTATGTAGATATCGAACATGAACAAGTTCCAGAACGATTATCAAGTTAAGATTCGATCGAAAGAAAATAAATCATAAAAGTGAATCGAACTTAGTATGGCCAAGGTGAGTGCATCTTATTTTATAGAATGATATGGAAATTGGACTTGTGATAAGTCTATCTCCGATAGTTAAAGTGCATGAAGTCTTGATTATAGGTAGATAAATGACATGAAATATATGTATGTTTGATTTTATGAATGTATATGTTTTGTATGTGCTACTTGAACATATGGTTATGAGATAAAATAGGTAATCATAGGAGAATATGATAAAAGTAAATACATGAGAAGACATATCCATGTGACATGTGAATATACTTGAATAATATATGTTATGTGATATACTTGATGTATGAGAATCATATGAGAATAAGAGATGACAATGAGTTACATGCCATATGAACACAAGAGAAGTGTTATAAGCTAAGTGACAGATGATTATGAACTCATATGAAAAGTGAAATGTACATGTGAATATGTGAAGTGATATGAATATAATGCCCATGTTATATGATACGAGAGCTATAGGTATAGTTGGCATGCCAAAAGTCGAGGGTCTACGCGGTCCTTCGGGACATACAGTAATCCTTCGGGATATTTCATAGTGGTCCTTCGGGACAAATCTCATAGCCCCTAGTGGGACCCCATACGAGCTGTGGTGACATCATAGTGCACAACCTCAATAGACTCACATATCTACAGTTCTCACAGGTGCACATGGGCTAATAAGAGATAACATTGAATGTAATGTATGTGATGTATATATGTGTTTTGTGATATGAATTATATGATATGATATATGTGTGTTAGTGATTATTGTATATGCTATAAGAGATATGATATGAGCTTAATTGATCATATAAATACGAGAATAAAAATATGAAAGGTGATAATATGATAATAATAGGAAAGAAGATAATTATATGTATGCGTGGATATATATATATAGATGAATATATGAAAGGTGCATAGTAAGAATTATTATATGTATATGTGGGTGTGATGCTTGTATGTGATATGTTAGTAGAAATTATTCAAGCATGCTTACGAGTTAGAGTTTTATTATATGTTTTATGCCTCACTAAGTCAACGACTTAGCGTGTGATAATGATAATAAAGAAGATAACTATATGTATGCGTGGATATATATATATATAGATGAATATATGAAAGGTGCATAGTAGGAATTATTATATGTATATGTGGGTGTGATGCTTGTATGTGATATGTTAGTAGAAATTGTTCAAGCATGATTACGAGTTAGAGTTTTATTATATGTTTTATGCCTCACTAAGTCAACGACTTAGCATGTGATTGTTTCATACGTAGGTTACAGAAGTGAGAAGAGTAAAGAGCCAAGAGGAGCAAGACATGTCAGCCTTTTCCTTACAAAGTTTCAGATCAGAAAATAGATGATTTAAATGTGTTTGGTAAATCTGAATATAGTTGGCATGTACTAATTGAGTGAGTTGTATAGGCTCTGATCGATTTTTTGGTTATTTTGGTCAATTTATGTAAATAAACAACTTTTATTTTAATGAAAGTTTTGAATTTTCTTTGAATTTTGTCAAGAGTCAAATGTTGAAAAGTCAAAGTGACACCTCAGACTCGTATTCGGGTCGGATATGGGTTGAGTGTGTTACATTATGTTACTCCAATGCTGCTTCTCGTTGTAAATTTGTTTAGCCAGTAACCATTCGCCACTTGAAAAGAAAATTTTGAGGTGTACCTTAAAGGCTCCAAGACCCTGCCGCCTATCACAGCCAAAGTGAGCCCATTCGCCACAAATTCCACAGTTTACCCGGTCACCTGCTGCACTACTATTGCCACACAAAAAACTCCCAGTGTTAGTACTGCAAACTCACTGTGCACATTGTGTACACGTGAAAGAGAGAAAGAGAGAAAGAGAGAAAGAGAAAGACCAGTGACACACCAAGCAACATTCTCCATCAACATCATCATGAGCTAATTCGTACTCTAAAAGGTAAGTGTCATAGTGTCTTTTCAGAGTGTTGCCCACTCCCTAGGTAATTAAAGGAATGAGAACCAATAAGTCATACAGATATTAGAAAGTTGAAACAACAGAGGATTTTTCATTTTTTGTGAGGCTCTACAAAAACTGCAAACCATATCAATAAAATTATTATCAGAGAAGGAAACTACAAGTCTGACAACTTGAAAACATACAGTCATTCTATTTGTCAATGTGTGATTGCGCATCTTCGAAAAAACTTGTCCCTTCCAGTTTATGCAATTTCGTATATGAAATCCAAGACAAAAACAAAAATCCCATGTGCCAGGGAAGCCCACAAATTAAGAAAAATACGCATTTGTTAATTGAATTCTAAATTGGCTTTTTATTAATCTGTTTCTTTCAAGTTCCACCTTGTTTGATATTAAAAAGCCCTCCAAGTATGTAACTTCATCTTACCCTGCTTTCAAAAGATGCTACAGTATAATCGCCAACTTCGAGCGTTAATTTCTTTTTCTTTATTTGCTCCCTGCTCTTTGTGTTCTTGACATTAAACAATATCCTTCACCACACGATTAGTCGATTACTATGAAGATTCCCACTGGGAGTGGATTTTTTTCCTTTTATTTTTTTGGGTTTTTGATCAAAGACCAGGACTGATTGGTTCTATCCTCATTGTCCGAGGTTGCCATTCTCATTTCCATGATCATAATGATAATGATCATCGTCAGAAATCTTTTGTTCTTGGGTCTTCCATTAAATACCATTTCGTAAAGACTGCTCTATACTAATTTAAACAGAAATTAGAAACCTATAATAAAAGGGACAAATTTTTAGTTTCGTTTTTAAAATGCCTAGCGACTCCCAGGATTTAACTCTCTTCTTTCTTCGGTCTTCTCTTAATTGTAAAAACTGAATCTTTGTCGTTGAGATCTTAATTAAACAGTCAAAGAAATGTCCTGCAAATTTTACTCAAACTACATTTTCCGATGCCAAATACTATCAGCAATGGGAACAGGCTGTAAATGAATCTCCAACATCAAAAAGATTCCCAAAAGAAATCGTCAATGAACATTACATTTAGGCCTCTTATACTAATTGATTTTAAAATTTGATAATTTCTCGATACTTAAATTTGACAATTACTCTTAAAATAATATGTATTTAAGTATTTGATTTTGAAAAGTTTCATGCAACAAATTGAGAAGATGAACTAAAATAAATAAATGTGTTAGTCATAGATATCAAATTGAGAATAATTATTTATGTAAAAAATAGTTAAAATAATCACCAACACGTCTAGAAGTGCAGAAGTTTTAGACACCTTGCTAAGAACGTAGGGGGGTGTTTGGTTCAGGTAATCTGAGATTACAGAGGAATGGAATCTCATTCTCCCGTTTGGATGGCCAACATTCCCAGCCCCCGGTAATCTTTTATTAACGACAGTGGATTTTTTGGGATATATTACCGGAAATGTCATTACCTCCATTCTCTTAGGTATTGTTGGATTACCAACGTTTTAGACTAAAATGCCCTTAAACTTTTTTCTCAAAAATATTCTTCTTCTGTCGTTGAATAATAAAAATTCTACGAAAGTTTAATTACAAATTTATCCTTAAACTATTTTAGATTTACAAAAAAAATTATATAATTAGAATTTTATATGAAGTTCAGGGGTTAAAATAAATTTTTTCCCTTTCATTAAACCTATTTATCTTTTCAATTTTGTAAAAAAATATATAAATTTTATGAATTTAAAATTTTTAAAGAAAATATATAAATTAATTATAGTAATATTATAGTAGAAGTCAACTTGTTAAAAAACAAATATATAATAAGGATAATTTGGTAAAATATACATTCTAATAATTTTTTATTCCTTTAACCAAACACGGTAATCTTACATTCCAGCTAAACCAACCAAACACAAAATACAACATTCCCAATAATCCTATTCTCTGGTAATATTTTATTCTCATTGGTAATCTTACATTCCGTTAACCAAACGCACCGTAAGAGTTACTTGCGCAAAAGATTCCGGTTGTTGAATGTTTATTTTGGTTTCAGAGTTCAATCATCTTCTTTAAGTGTTAATTTTCAAAGTTAAAAAAATTAAATAACTACTACCTTATATTCATTCTAAATTTATAAAAGTAATAAATTAAACTTTATATTTATTAGTTCTATCAACTAAAAAAGATAAATAGAAAATAATTTAATATGCATGCAAATTCAATGAATGATTAATAATTTCATAAATGAACTAATTGATTTCTATAGTTAATATTAATTATAGTTCAAATGTAATATATAAATAAACAGAGAGCATTTATTATAGTTTAGGAAGAGTCTTTTGATTTTATTCTAACTAAATTAATATTGGATTTATTCATGATATTAAATTCCATTATTTTTTAATAATTTAAGTTGATTTTAATGTAATATAAATTTATAATATTAATTATTAAGAACGTATACACACCAGAGATGGATCGGGATGGGTGATTGCCTTTGAAATTTTAAAATTATCATATATTTTAGATTTTTTATGTATTTTCTATTGAAAATATGTTTGCGCTCTCTAAAATTTTAAAAGTTCACTCCTCTAACATAAAATCTTACATCTTCGTACAAATGCAATTACTTGAATTCAAGATCTCAAAGAAAAACAACACATTATTTAACCATCGGAGTCACTCAATGAATTTAATATTTATTCAATCATATGTATATATAAAACAATAATAATTAATATAATATATTAATAATCATCTATCAATTGATCTAGCATGATGAAATATTAGATTCCTTAAACAGAGAATAGCAATTCAGTTTATTCATATTTTCAATGATAATTTTTTTAATATTATTTTAAACTAGTGATTTTTTGTTGTTGGAAAAATACTATTCAAAATTAATTTATCAAAAGTAAAACGCTCACCTCAATTATGACTTTTTGGGCATTTGGCTTATAAATGTCTACGGGTCAGTTAGTAATGTCACGTGCCATGCGTGGTTACCTCATATGCATTGCAATGGCAAATTTGTCAATGGCTAAGTTCTTAAAGTTTTCGCAATTATCATTTCTTTTTTGAACATATTTTATCTGAAAGGGGTAAGGAATTTTTGTTTAAATCTATAATTTATAAATGAAAAATATTAAATTATTAATTAAGAATTTTTAATTACTTAATAAATTGTTGATCGCGATTATTATTTCTACGTAAATCCTAAAGAAAAGTATGAATACATAGGATTATTTGGTCTGGAAAAAAGAAAGAAAAAAAAAGGATTATTTGGTAGAACTAAGGGAAAAATAACTTCAAAATAAGATATCTAACAGTATAATAGATAATTATTATCAATTTAATATAATATTATTGTTTTTCTGACTTCCTTCTACATTAAAAATTGTTTAAAATGTAACATTAATTTTTTACGTTTATAGTTCGACTCTAAAAATAGATTTTATATAAAAAAATATAAAATATTATTTTTGATAAACTACAATTAAATGGTTGTCCCTTTTTTCCATATATATGAGGTAAGGGGAGATAAGATAGTAGGCTACCCCCAACACCAGGTTGAGAGCAGCTTCCGTAAGAAACCTCCAAATTATGAAATGCCCTCCGTGGGACTCGATCCCACGACCTCAAGGTTAAGAACCTTGTGCTCTACCAACTGAGCTGAATGGTCATTTCATTTTGATAAACTACAATTGATTTTCTAAACAATGATTATTTTTGTTTATTTATGTTTACTAATATAATTACTAAATGAATTTATTTAATATCAAAAGACTATTTAAACTTATTCTAATAGTAGAATGACCGGTTCAAATTAATCTTTATAATAAATAAATTTGATTTAATTTATTTAATATGAAAGATACTAAATTGATACAGTTGTAATAATAAAGGGGTTTTTGTCTTTGACATCGTATGCTATCTATTTGTCTGCGACCTATTTGTCTTTTAAAGAAGTCTTAATATAAAAAAAAGTGTTAAAATTATATCTTTTTCTCAAATTGGTGTTTAGAGATACTTAACGAGTTTAGTAATTTGTAATCAGTTTGAACTTGACTTGGTCAAAGCTCGACTCGAGATTTTAACGAGTTGAATCGAGTAAAAGCCAACTTGACTCGATAAGTTAGCGAGCAGCTCGCTAATTTTTATATAATTTTTAGTAATTATTTTAAAAATTATTAATTTACTAATAGATAATGAAAAAGATGATAAATTAATAATATATTAATTTTATAATAAAAAAATAAAAAAATACTAAATTATTAATTATTATTATTTTCTAGACCCACAATCAACCTTAAATTATTATTATAATATATTTGTAGATTGTTGTTTTGAAGTTTAGACTTTAAAATTGTTTCATACACTCTTTTGATAACTTTGGATTAAATTTATTAATTTATGTTTATATTAAGTTCTACATAATTTAGTAGATTTTACCCATAGTTTAAAAAAGATAAATTTTCGGTTAGTTAAACGAGTAACGAGAAGAGCAACGTGCTTAACGAACAACGAGTTGAGCAATAACTTTTTTTAACGAGCACGAGTCGAGTAAAATTTTAATGAGCTTAACGAACGAGTCGAGCAACAAAACTTTTTAACGAGCACTACCCAACTCGCGATCGACTCGCTCGATAAGCACCCTTAAATACAGATATTTAACGTTACAAACGTTACCATTTTAGGTGTCTGGTCCGCAACGAACGTTATATTTCATCGTTTAGTGACACATGTTGCGCTAAGATAATCTTAAAATTTTATTTTAAAAAACTTAAAATTATATATATATATATATATATATATATATATTAAAAATTCAAAAAATTTAAAAATCTTAAAAAATATCCCAAAACTTTGTAAATTCTAAATCTAATCCTTATATCTATGTCGTCTGCCGCCTTTTACCGTATACTAAACCTACCCCTAAAGACGTCTCCACCAGATGATCACCCACATGACAAACAACCACCGATTTAAATCCAACAAATAAAATGAAAAAAATCATGACATTTGCGCAACTATATGAGACCCCCTGAGGGCACGAGAGAATGTATGTCGAAAAGAGAGGCTGTGTCGGCGGCATCGGTAGTGGTTGACAAGGTAGAAACTAGAGTTAATGTTAAGGATTTGGGGTTGATTTTTGAGATATAGGTTTTTTTTTTCTAATTTTAGAAAAATTTGTGTTTTTTAAATATCATAATATTTTTAAGTTTTTTAATTAAAAATTTAAAATTATATAAACGTGACATAAGTCACTTAACATGATTTTTTAACGATCGTTACGATCGAAACATCTAAAGTGATCATGTTTGTAACATTAAATAACTAAATTGACCGGAAAAAAGTTTATACATCACTCTAAAGCATATAATATAATTTGAACACTTATTTTTATATTAAGTATTTTTAAGAAATAATACAATTTTGTTGATAAATGGAAAGAAATTTAAATTTTAAATAAAGAAAAAATAAAAATTATGATCACAAATAAAACAGACTGGAAGCGGGTTAATTAGAAAGAAAAGGACCGTTGTTATGTGCAAAAAGGAGAGAGGAAAAAAGAGCTAACAATCAAAATAGAAGTCGAGAACGACACAACAAAAAGCAGGCTTCACAGGAAAACCAAACAAATACATAAATAAAGCGAAACGGGAAACCGAGGGAGAAAAACCAAAGTTAATCAAAGAAAATAAGAAGGTAGCATTATTTTTTCTACGAAAATCGTTGTAATTGATTCTCGTATTATTATTATTTGCTTGTTTGTTTGTTTCTGGAGATTAAATCGTGTGTGTTTTCATTTTAATTGCATCACTGCCGACAAGTTTGCCACGAAATTAACTCTGGAGGTTTACGGCTTTTACTTTTGATTATTCTCTGTTGGGCAGTTTCAATGTAATTTTTATTGTTGTACGAGTAGAGATTTAGCGTGTTGATTTAGTTTTTTGAAGAGAAACCCAGTTTTCGTGATGAGGTTTTCCGTTGCTAGAAGATCCAAAGAACTTCTAATATTTTATTTGTTGTGTTAATCGGTCTCAATAAGAATTAGCTGATTAATTTAATTTTAGGGTTTTTATCTATATGAGCTTGGTATTATTATTTTTTAATTTCGTGGGTTTATTGTATCGAACAGTGACTAGAAGTTTCATTTTTTACTGAAGAAGACGAACAAAAAGAAGAAGCAAAAGAAGAAGATATTGGAATTTAAGGCTTCTGGAAAGCGGAACTTGAGGTGCTAGTATTCCGGGTAATTTTAGTTTTCTTATTATTTTCTTTTTGAAGTATTAATGTTATGCTTCTCATGTAATTTAAATTAGTTGCTCAAACTTGTCAATTTTGTGTTGTCAATTCCAATATAACTTTTCCCTCCACTTTCAATTACAAGTTTTTTGTTTGGATTCATAAGTTTTAGAGTAGTAATTTTTCTGGAACTTAATTTTATAGGTGTATTTTATTTGTCTTGGTTTTATAATGGCTAGGGTATTACGGGGTAGCGATTTTGTGGTTGTGGCTGTGGTTGTGTGAGTGACAAATGAATGAATCATGATGACTTGAATCACTTGGGATAGTTGTAGATGGGCACCCCTGATAACAAACAATCTGACCATGTTGACACAAAGTTGCGGATCCCTAGGATTGAGCTTCTGAATGCGTCGAGTGATTTTTGGATGCCTGATCAGAGTTGTAGGGTATGCTACGAGTGTGACTCCCAATTTACAGTATTTAATCGTAGGCATCATTGTCGACTTTGTGGCCGTGTTTTTTGTGCCAAGTGTACAACAAACTCGATTTTTGTCCCATCTGATGAACCAAGAGTTGGTCTTGAAGATTCAGAAAGGACTAGGGTATGTAGTTACTGCTTCAAGCAATGGGAGCAAGGGATAGCAGCAGTTGATGATGGGACCAAAACATCTACTCCTGGTCTCAGTCCATCTCCTTCTGCAGCAAGCTTGGCCAGTACCAAGTCCAGCTGCACCTGTAATAGTAGCAGCAGCATTGCTGGTTCTACTCCATATGCAACTGAACTTTACTACTCTGTGAATTATAATTCTGGTCTTAGACATCGTGAATCTGCCCATATGAATGGTGCTGAACAAAACAGTGAGACATCTGGGATGAGCACAGATCAAAGTTCAGCCTTAGTAGATTCTTCTTCAAACCATTTTGGCTTTTGTGGTAACAGGTACCTTCTCCATTGCTAACATATCTGACTCTAGAATTTCACATGCCTTTGCATATATATATATATATATATTTCAGTGCTTGTTGGTAGGGGGTAGCGTTAATGGTTGAGCAATGAATCCTTCATGATATCAATTGTGTTGGGATGAGCCTTTACTTCTTTGCTCAATGCTTTTGTGTTTGTCAATTCATATTCAAATTACACAGCCTACCTTGGCTTGAATCCATAAGTTCTTGTGCTTTTATTTTTTGATTAAAAGCTAGTGATCTATACTTATTACTTTCTTAACTGTTGGTTCCAGGAGTGATGATGAAGATGATGATTATGGTGCATATCATTCAGACTCAAAATCAAAGCATTATTCTCATGCTGAAGATTATTATGGTGCAACCAATAATGATGATTTTGAACGTGTTTATGGATCAGATCAAGTGCATCCTCATGCTGAGAACACTGACGTGAAATCTTTGAGTGGTTCACCATTATCTAAGAATTTTGATATACCAAGTGTGGATGGAATCAAGAAACTTGAAGAAAAAAATGAACAAGAAAATGCTGATGAGGGTGAAGTTCCTGCTTATGTCGTGGATGGTACAGGTTCTGTGCCTGTGGATTTCGAGAGCAATCGGCTACTGTGGCTCCCTCCAGAGCCCGCGGATGAAGAGGATGAGAAAGAAGCTGCTCTATTTGATGATGACGATGATGAGGGTGCTACAGGAGAGTGGGGATATTTACGCTCTAATAGTTTTGGCACGGGAGAACGTAGCAGGGATAAGTCTGTTGAGGAGCACAGGCGGGCCATGAAAAATGTGGTGGAAGGGCATTTTAGAGCTTTGGTATCTCAGCTTTTACTGGTCGAAAACCTTCCTATTGGGGATGATGATGGGAAAGAGAATTGGTTGGATATAATCACATCTTTGTCATGGGAAGCTGCAACACTTCTGAAGCCAGATACAAGCAAGGGGGGAGGAATGGATCCTGGAGGATATGTGAAAGTTAAATGCATAGCTGCCGGGCGTCGCAGTGAAAGGTAATCTCAATGAACTCATTTTGAAAATTTCTTAATCATCACACAACAAGAATGCAACTTCACCTTCATATTCTTAGCAGGTGGTAGCTAACAACCCAAACATACAATTAACTTTTATTCTTAGTAATCAACTTTATTATTGATTTCAAGATGGTTAATTGTGTTTCATCATTTCATGGCCGAGCATCGGACTCATTAGGTCTTGAAAATACGTAGTTGTTGCGTTGCTTTGATACTTATGGTGTCTATGTAATTTCCATGTGCAAAGTTGATAATTCCCATTGCATCAAATGGTTCATATTTTTTTCCTTGGGTTGATGGGTACTGATTGTAGTTCTTTGATTTTAATATGAATAAACATACCTTAAAGTTATTTCTTCCATCACATACCCTCGCATATCTCATTAGCTATCATTTGTGAATATCCCTCGTATATGTATTGAGAATTCACGATTCTTTTCCAGTGATTCTTGTTGTTCATTTGAGGCATTTTAGAGAGAATAATATGGAAAGATGGTCTCTATATAATTTCCATGTTCAAAGTTGATAATTCCCATTGCATCAAATGGTTCATATTCTTTTTCCTTGGATTGATGGGTACTGATGGTAGTTCTTTGATTTTAATGTGAATGAACATACCCTAAAGTTATTTCTTCCATCACATCCCCTCACATATCTCAATAGCTATCATTTGTGAATATCCCTCATATATGTATTGAGCATTCACGATACTTTTCCAGTGATTCTTGTTCATTTGAGGCTTGTTGTTCATTTGAGGCATTTTAGAGAGAATAATATGGAAAGATGGTCTCTATATAATTTCCATGTTCAAAGTTGATAATTCCCATTGCATCAAATGGTTCATATTCTTTTTCCTTGGATTGATGGGTACTGATGGTAGTTCTTTGATTTTAATGTGAATGAACATACCCTAAAGTTATTTCTTCCATCACATCCCCTCACATATCTCAATAGCTATCATTTGTGAATATCCCTCATATATGTATTGAGCATTCACGATACTTTTCCAGTGATTCTTGTTCATTTGAGGCATTTTAGAGAGAATAATATGGAAAGATGGTTACAATTAACAATAAAATCAAACGTGTCACTAAAAGAATGCTTTGTATGTTATGTAATAGTTCATTCTATTCACCATTTATTTTGGGATGAGATTCTGATTTCCTTTTTTAATATTTTCTCTAGTGCTGTGGTTAAAGGAGTTGTTTGCAAGAAAAATGTAGCTCATAGACGAATGACTTCAAAAATAGATAAACCTCGTTTTTTAATTCTTGGAGGAGCTTTGGAATATCAGCGTATTTCTAATCACTTGTCAAGTTTTGATACGTTGTTGCAGCAGGTTTGTATTTCTAACTATTCCCTTCTATTTTGGTTGGTTAATTGACCTAGGTTCGTAATAAGGGTTAAACAAGGAACATTCCTTTGATTCCTACCTTCTAGAACATGAAGCAGTTAAGGCTAATATTTGTTAGCTTACCCTCCTTTCCAGGAAATGGACCATTTGAAGATGGCAGTTGCTAAAGTCGGTGCACATCATCCTAATGTTCTTTTAGTGGAGAAATCTGTGTCCCGGTATGCTCAAGAGTACCTTCTCGCCAAAGACATATCACTTGTTCTCAATATTAAGAGGCCACTTTTAGAGCGTATAGCCCGCTGCACTGGTGCTCAAATTGTTCCATCCATTGATCATCTGACATCACCAAAGTTGGGTTATTGTGATGTGTTCCACGTGGAGAAATTTTTTGAGGAGCATGGAAGTGCTGGGCAAGGTGGGAAAAAATTGACAAAGACACTAATGTTTTTTGAGGGTTGCCCAAAGCCTCTGGGTTATACTGTAAGTCCTTTCAGTATTCATCGTACACATACCATTCCCTAGTGCTGACAAATAAAATCTGTTTATAATCCGGAAAATCTTTCCAGTATATGTTGTTGTTTTAACATTTAGTTATCAATTTTTTTGCTTGACAAGTATGGTTATTATTTATACGTTTTACTTGGGTAATCTTTTACTTTGTTGATGCTTTTCACAGTAACTGAGGATGCATTTTTTTCACAAAGATGAGATAGTATAAACAATTTTAAAGGCACCACATGCTCAGCAACATAAATGCCTGAAGAGACTAAAATAAAGTCTAAAACAAACTCTTGCTAAGCCTAAAAATGGGGTAAATAGATCAGGCTATATGAATTAATGAGAAATTATGGAGTCCATTCAACATTCATTTATAATCTTTGACCTGAGTCCAGTAGTTTAATACCATCTCTAAAGCACATGTGGAACAATTACCATCTGCTAGCCAAATCTACCCAGAGTAATCTGTTGTGGACTCTTATTAGTTGTTAGGTACTTCTCTTAGGGGAAGTTGTCATGTAGGATGCTTAGAATAAAAGTTGTTTTAGGACTCTCTTAAAATAGTTGTGTTTGGTAGGACTTTATTTTGTTTGCTATGTTTTTTATTATTATTTTAGTGTTTATTTAAAATGGCGATTAATAAAACGAAGTCGAGTGTCTATCAAAACCCTAAAAGAGATTTGGGTCTCTCTCTAATGAGTCCTAAGATTTCAGCCCCCCTTTTATGAGTTTGAGTTATTTTGCTGTCCATCACCTGTGGCTCAATTCCAAACTCACAGTTGTGACATAAACACCATCAGATAAATGGGTGATTTACTGAGCTTCATCTGACCATAACTTGTACCTAGAACAATTTGATTTTACTGTGACCATTCTCAGGTTCTTCTGATTGAGAAATTCCCTTTATTATCAGGTGACAACATGACTTCCTTTGTTTTCGGCCATCTAGCTTCTTTTGGTCAGTCTATTGCATGTGGAAGAATCCATCTGCCACATTAAGATGCCTTCTAATGTTCATATTCTCCAAATCATATTCTACAACTACATCAATTAGAGCACCTCGTCGCAGCAATAGTCCTCTTAAGTGGTCTTTTTCATGCATAATTTTTGGATTTAGTGAAGCAGAAACTATTGTGGCTGTTTGCAGTCTGGTTGTTTGCTAGCTTTTAGGATGGTCCGATGCATAGAATGTAACTACATAAAGCTCTGATGGTTCATGTCAGCCAGTTACATCGTAATCATTCTAAAATATTTTTCCAAGTAAAAAATCTTTGGTGCTAAGATGGTCCAATGGTTAACCTTTTTTCAGATTTTACTCAAGGGTGCGAATGGAGATGAACTGAAAAAAGTGAAACATGTTGTCCAATATGGAGTTTTTGCAGCTTATCACTTGGCTCTTGAGACATCATTTCTTGCTGACGAAGGTGCCACACTTCCAGAGCTCCCTTTAAAGTCTCCTATAAATGTTGCCTTACCCGATAAACCATCGAGTATTGACAGGTCTATTTCCATTGTACCTGGCTTTACCATCCCATCCTCCAGGAAGCCCATGGCTTCTCAGTCTATTAATGAATTGCAGAAATCCAACATGGATGTCAACTCGGATAGACCATCATCTGCCAACAATAAGCCCGCCAGCAAATCTACAGAGGCCAGTTTATCTTGCTGGTCAAAAAGTCCTCAGAGTCTGTTGAATTCCGAGGAATCTGCCATTGTCACTGTTCAAGCTAGTTCTTCCTTGAACTCACAGTCAGCTTCAAGGATGGATACATCTTCATATGACTATGTTCCCTCCTTAAATCATGCATTTAGAAAGACTGACGGAATTGATCCTAAAGAATCTTTACAGATCAAAACAACTAGCAGTGGAGAAGATTTAATGCGTAACCAGTTTATTTATCTTTCTCAAAGATTATCAGAAGCACCACTGCAAGATCATGGCAGTAATCATGCTGATCAGAGTATGTTGGCTGCAAATCATCTGGATTGCCCAGAGTTGGCATCCTCAAAACAAGAGCCTGTTAACAATAATGAAGAGAGAGGATCCTCGAAGGAAGAGTTTACTTCATCATCTTCTGATCACCAGAGCATTTTGGTGTCGTTATCAACACGTTGTGTGTGGAAGGGCACTGTGTGTGTACGTTCTCATCTTTTCCGAATAAAATACTATGGGAGCTTTGATAAGCCGTTGGGGAGATTTTTACGAGATCATCTGTTTGATCAGGTACTTTTATTGTTGTTATTTCATGTAGAAAAATTGATGATCTTCTTTGTTTGTCATTTCTAAAACTTAAGATTCTTTTTATCAGAGCTTCTGTTGTCATTCATGTGAGATGCCATCTGAAGCACATGTTCATTGTTATACTCATCGGCAAGGTAGCCTGACAATATCTGTTAAGAAACTACCAGATCCTCCCTTACCAGGAGAGCGGGAAGGCAAGATTTGGATGTGGCATAGGTGCTTGCGATGCCCTCAGATCAGTGGATTCCCTCCAGCCACAAGAAGAGTTGTAATGTCTGCTGCTGCTTGGGGTTTGTCCTTCGGGAAATTTTTGGAGCTTAGCTTTTCTAACCATGCAGCTGCTAGCAGAGTTGCAAACTGTGGTCATTCCCTTCACAGAGATTGTCTTCGATTTTATGGGTAAGGCTTTACTTAAGAGATAGAAAGAATTATGTTAAATAGATCATAAAGATAATCATTTTAAATGGAGTTATCACTTGTGGAGGGTTGGCCTTTTTATTCTGTTTATGTGATTGCTCTCTAGTTTATGAGCAATGGATTTGCTTTTCTCTATGAACCATTGATTGATTGGTATTCATACGTGTAATTTTGGTGATTTTCCTTAGCATAATGATTATTAACAGTCACCCCTTATATTTTATCTGGTGTTTAATCCTGACTTATGGATTGCCTGGGTCTTCAATGTATATTATAAGAGAATTCAAAAGGTGTAAGAAATAATCAAATGAAACATATCAGTTGCATTGGTATCCTCTGATTGTACTGTTTACCACATGCAGTTTCGGGAGAATGGTTGCTTGTTTTCGATATGCTTCCATTGATGTCCATTCCGTTTATCTTCCACCATCAAAACTGGAATTTAATTATGATAATCAGGAATGGATACAAAGTGAAATGAATGAGGTTTGGCTATCCTAAAACCTTGTTCCAGTTCATAAAGCTATTCTTGAATCAAATAATGCCTACAAGATCACTGAAACTGTTTTGCAGGCGAGTAACGGGGAAGAATTCCTTTTTACTGAAGTGTACAATGCTCTTCAAAAGCTTTCAGAGAAATTATTAGGTTCAGGGTCCAATAATTGTGGCATAAGGGCACCTGAAAGAAAAATCTGTCTTGAAGAACTGGAAGCAATGCTCCAAAAGGATAGAAAAGAGTTTCAGGTAGTTTATTTGAAACTCACTGTCTGTACCTTCTCCTTGTCCCTTATGAGCAACAACTGCTATCTGATGGTTTTAATTAATGCATGAACTAAGCTGTTCAGAAGTTTTAACTTTTACCCCATTTTAGATTTTGTTTTCTTTTATGGATAAAACCAGCTTGATATACTGTCTTGTTTCTTATATGTTTACTTTTTCCTTGGGAATCTTTAAAGGAAGTTCTTTGTAAGGAGGTGAAATTCGGCCAACCTGTTATTGACATTCTTGAGATCAATAAGTTGCGCAGACAAATTCTCTTTCTTTCTTACATTTGGGACCATCGCCTGATTCATGCTTATGGTTCAATTAACAATAATACCCAGGAAATTATAAGCAATTCCATCCCAAAGTTTGGACTGAAGCCTATAAGTTCTGTGGAGAAGCTTGTTGAAATGAATGTTAGTCCCAAGTCAACTAAAGTATTTAGTAGTTGCGACTCTGCCCCAATCAAGAACAAGCCTGATGTAAACATGAATCAAGGAGGTAATACTGGTGAAATTAGCAAGCCAGGTGGAGACCACAAAGAAAAAGACATGGACCAGGACTTTCACAACAGGAAGGAGGCTAAATCTTTTCTTTCTTCTAGTTTAAATAGCAGCGAGAAACTTGGTACTCTGGAATCTGAAAGAGCTGTCAGAAGCTCCCTGTCAGATGGGCAATTTCCAAATATGGAAGATTTATCTGACACCCTTGAGGCAGCGTGGACTGGTGAAAGTCACCCAGCTAGCATAATTCCTGGGGAGAATGGTTACACTGATCCTGATTCAGCCATGGCAGATATGTCAAATGCAGTAAATTTGGATACGGGAGATCCTGCTAGTGTTGGTGGTGAAGTGGTAGCGACACATTCTCCTCAGTCTGCTCTGCCTACTAAGGGGCTTGAAACTATGGAGAAGTCCATGATCTGGGAAAACATGCCATTTCGACATCTTTATGACTTATTTAATAAAAAATCTTCATTCAATTCTCAAGAGCTCAATATCAGTGAGTATAATCCAGTCTATGTTTCATCATTCAGGGAGTTGGAAAAGCAAAGTGGTGCCAGGTTGCTGCTTCCTATTGGTGTTAATGACACAGTAGTGCCTGTTTATGATGATGAGCCTACTAGTATTATAGCTTATGCACTTGTCTCTTCAGATTACCATTCACAGATGTCTGAGCTGGAGAGACGAAAAGATGGTGCAGATTCTGCAGTTTCATCATCACTCTTTGATTCAATGAATCTGCTTTCACTTAATTCTTTTAGTGACATATCATCCGGTACTTACAGAAGTTTTGGATCTGGTGATGATAGTATCTTGTCTTTGTCTGGGTCACATAGCTCCTTGGCTTCTGATCCCCTCTCGTACACAAAAAATTTCCATGCCAGGGTTTCTTTTACCGATGATGGTCCCCTTGGGAAGGTGAAGTATTCGGTAACTTGTTATTATGCAAAGCGGTTTCAGAGCTTGAGGAGGACTTGCTGCCCTTCTGAGATGGATTTTATACGGTCTCTCAGCCGTTGTAAGAAGTGGGATGCCCAAGGCGGTAAGAGCAAAGTCTTCTTTGCAAAAACTTTAGATGATCGATTTATCATCAAACAAGTCACAAAAACAGAACTAGAATCATTTGTCAAGTTTGGACCAGCTTATTTCAAGTATTTGTCTGATTCAATCAATACTAGAAGCCCAACTTGCCTGGCAAAGATTTTGGGCATATATCAGGTATTCTTTATAGTAGTTAAACTTTACAAGTGAATTTTTGGAAGAAATTCTGGGCAAAAAAAATTGTGTTGGTACCATAAAGCATAGGTAATCTTGTCAATTATGATTTCCAATTCTTGAACTCATCTGTCTGTTCTTCCTTTTTTTTCTCATTCTGCTAAAAAAGTGTACAATGTGATTTCTTAGGGATATGTTTTTGTGTTTGTGCATATCCTTACTGATTGTATATGAACTCCTCTTTAGATGTGTCCAAATATGCTGTGGTAATACTTGATATTCTGATGTCATAAAAAGCCTGAGATATGAGCAGCCTAAGTGCCCCTCACTTGGGAGATTTTCAAGTTTTATCTGCTTTATTATGTTGTAGTTTCCTAAGCCAAAATTAGTCTTTTCTTATTTAGTTATAATTATACCTTGACTTTTGGTTTAATTTTTCTTCTGGTGTCGTTGTCTTGAAGGTTTCATCAAAGCACCTTAAAGGAGGGAAGGAATCAAAATTGGATGTTTTGGTGATGGAAAATCTTCTCTTCAGGCGTAAGATTACAAGACTTTATGACCTCAAAGGATCTTCACGATCAAGGTATAATCCCGATACAAGTGGCACCAACAAAGTCCTTCTGGATCAAAATCTGATTGAAGCAATGCCAACTTCTCCAATTTTTGTTGGAAGCAAAGCGAAGCGGTTGTTGGAAAGGGCTGTCTGGAATGACACTTCCTTTCTTGCTGTAAGTTGGATTTTAACATCTCATTTGAATGTCAGTAGACTATACATACCGTTGTTCCGTATATTTTCTCTATATTTTATAAATGATATTTTGGTAATTATGATTATGAAATGAAAGAAACAATGGTGGATAATGTAGTCAGGTTTGGGCTGGATGGCAGTGTAGGATCGGTTTTTCCTCATTAGCATTCTTCATGCTGTAAATTACATGGCGATGGGCTCTTCATATTTATGCTATGCATATAAGCTAATGAATTGATCCGGTTTTCCCCCCAATAATTATATATTCGTCTTGGAACAGTTAGTTGATGTGATGGACTATTCGTTATTAGTCGGTGTTGACGAGGAAAAACATGAGCTTGTTCTTGGAATAATTGATTTCATGAGGCAATACACATGGGATAAGCACCTTGAAACTTGGGTGAAGACCTCAGGCATCCTTGGTGGGCCTAACAGTGCACCTCCGACGGTGATCTCACCTCAACAGTACAAGAAACGTTTCAGGAAAGCCATGACTGCTTATTTTCTCATGGTTCCGGATCAGTGGTCTCCGCCGTCAATTGTTCCTAGTGGGTCGCAGACAGATCTTTGCGAAGAAAACAAACGAGGTGGTAACTCTGTTGAAATGATAATGTGAATCCTTTTGTCTGTATATGTCAAGATGTAAGTTCAATACCCCACCTTCATTTTATACTTCATTTTTGCTTCTCTCTCTCTCTCTCTCTTTACTTCAGTCCAATTGTAATTGTTAAATGGCTGCCACATTTTATGTATCATCTTCAGTATATGCATCTCTCTTTTTTTAATATTTTATTTCTCCCTTTTTACTGTCTCATACGTATACAATTTGTTTATTTTTGTTTCCTTATTTTCCCTGATTTTAAGCTTCATTTGGAAGTGTGGAAGTGACCAGAGATTCTTTTTATACACCACATCATCAATTTTATAGCTTTAAGTGTTAAACTTCAGTCAAGGGGTAAAGCTCACCAGTCACCACTAGTAATATATTTGTATCATGGTATTAAAGTTTGTAACATTTTATGTCTATATATTAAAAATTGATCATATTTTATGTATATATTCAAAGTATTATAATTATGTAATAATTTATGCATATATTTAAAATAAGGTTTCTCACCCCTATAACTGTCCATTTTAACTCCCATAGCATGTTGAAATAATTAAGAGAGTCTTGTCAATGAAATTGTCATTGTGTGGTAGAATGTGGTTTTGGAATTTGAGTGTCTTACTAAATATTATATTTCAGTTATCAATTTGTCATGTGCATATTATAATGATCTGCTCCAGTTATTTTAGTTATAGTATGATATAAATGATCATTGTAATTAAAAAAATGTCTAGTGAAATGAATGGTTAGAGATGAGTATTTTGCCCGAATTGAGGGTTTTTTTTTTTAATTCGGATCGGGTTAGATTAGGTTTTTTAAAAAATAAAATTGAAAAAAGTTTAGGGAAAATATATTTGGTTAAACCGTGAAATAATAATATTGAATTTTATATATTTAAAAATAATTGTAAGGATATTTCTCTATTTATATGTCTAGAATTACTTTGTCTAAATATTAAATATTCAAACTTTAAAAAAAAATCTACGTACTACCAACCAGGAGATTGTGAGGAAAACACGGGGATATTTCATTTATGGAAAAAGCTATTGCGGTTGTATATATAATTCGATAAAATTTTCGAGATAATGTTCTGGAAAAAATTAATTCACGAGATAAAGCACTTCCAAGATTAATTGCTTAAATAAGGTGAAATCCATAGTGTTGGTCGTAGGTCGCCATGCCTTCCGGGCGACCTACTAGGTCGCCATGTCTTTCCGGCGAGCTACAAGAGATAGCATGTGCCATGCACGTCCCAACATGCTGGGCATCCGAGGCCATCCGACCGAGGCTATCCGAGAGCATCTGAGGCCATCCGAGAGCATCCGAGGCCATCCGAGAGCTCCGAGGCCATCCGAGAGCATCCGAGGCCATCCGAGAGCATCCGAGGCCATCCGAGAGCATTCGAGGCCATCCGAACGAGCTATGCGAGGGCATCCGAGGGCAGCCGAGCGAGCTATGCGAGGGAATCCGAGGGCAGCCGAGCGAGGATAGGTCACCCGGAGTGCATGGCGACCTACAAGGTCGCCCGAAGGGCATGACGACCTATGTGTCGGGACGTGCATGTGCCATGCAACACGTTCATTCTCTCTGTTTGAGCAAGGGTAGGTCGCTCAGAGTGCATGGCGACCTACAAGGTCGCCCGGAAGGCATGACGACCTACGGCCAACATTATGGATTTCACTCTATTTGAACAATTAATCTTAAGAGTGCTCTTGAATTAATTTCTTTCAGAACATTATCTCGAAATTTTTTCCATATAATTCAATTCCGAAGTCAATAGCAGGAGTCTTTGAGAAGTATTTTGATATTTCATTTATGGAAAGCTCATTCAATTCCAAAGTCAATAGGCAGAGCTGGAAGGTATTTTCGAGGAATCCACCTCAGCGTATTTTTCCTCTATTTTCTGCCGAGTATTACTTCCGTGTTGACTGACCCATTCAAGCTGATCCTATTTATACCACTACCTACTCCAATCGACTACCAAAAGTCCAGTATAGTTCTTTCATTGCTTTATCAGAACAATGATCAACCGTCTAAGCGCCAGCAGGAGCTGGTACACTCGTTTCCAGTACGAAGAAGGCGTGGACAAGCCCGGCGATGTACGCAACACTATGTTAGTTGTTGCGACTCTCATAGCTTCCGTTACCTTCCAAGCTGGTGTCAATCCTCCCGGCTGCGTATGGCAAGATAACGACGGCAACCATGTTGCCGGCAGAGCCATTTATGCGAATCAGTCAGGAGCCTACTATGTTTTCTTGATTGCTAACACCTTCGCTCTCTCCGCCTCTGTACTTGTCATCATCTCTCTCACTCATCGCTTCCCTTTCCATCTCGAAATTATTATCGCTACCATTTCCATGATCGTCACTTATGCTTCTGCAATTTTTGCCGTCACTCCCGATGAATTCGTCAAGTTTCGGTTCGTCATAGCGGCTGCTACCGTGCCTTTCATACTGCTATGTTTGATTCAACTCTCCAACGTCGTCTTTAAGAAGGATGAGACTTCCGGATTAGAGTTTGAAATGATGAGAAATTAAGCTGTTGTACTAATTATGGTACTGCTTATATATATATATATTTATATTTATGGTACTGAATCTTTTTTAATAAATATTATCTTGTAATCATTAGAATATTAGTTAGATGTGATTATCACTTATATCATAGTTTTTTTAATCAATTAATCACCTTAAAATATAAATAAAATTTTAATTAAAAATATTCAAATTAATTTATATCCTAACAAAATAATATTAACTCAAAATTTTATATCTATATAAAAATTATATTTTATTTTTAAAATATTATTTTATATCCAAACACAATAATCTTAGATAACATAAACCAAACAAAATCTCAATAACTTTTAATAAAATCATTTCATTAGTCAAAAAAATAAGAATACATTCACTAGCCAAGAGTCCTCGAAATAAATGTCCTCCAACATGACAATGTTTATCGGAAAATTCTCAGTAAACACAGCTGAAGACGGAACAATCTCTATAATGCATTGTATAGTTTCTATTTTTATTTCCACCTGATACTAAGCCCTCTTATATGCAATATCATGTATTAGATTACTAATTTATTTCAAACATATAAAAAAATAAAATTAAATAAAGTGTACGCTCAAATCTTTTCCCACGAGTTCGAGATGAGATGAGATGGAAATTCAGAATGATCTATATCCATCCATGGCAATAAATGATCTCTATTTTCGTTGCTCGAGACAATTAAACACGAGGAAAATGCACCTTTTTAAGTCCCCAGACCCATACGAACATTGGCGCCTGCTTCTTTTACCCATGCCCCTTTTAAGAATGCTTCTACTGTATATTTCATGGCTTCTTCCTTGTTAATGTCCCTTCTTCCTGCCCACTTCACTCTACCCTTTGTTATTGCGCCAGGCCCTGTGTTTTTGAACTCTCCATAGAAAAGGGTATTGAGCGCAAAGTCACCTTCCCATTCGAGCCATCCAGCGGGTTCGATGAAATCTTCGATCTGTGATTCCATTATGACGGTCCTCGAGTATTGCTTCCAGGGCCTGCCTAGGTAGCTATTGAACTGTTTTGCGAAGGGTTTAAATGATTCGTCTGGTAATATCTTGCAGTTTTGGAGCACAATGCCTGTGGTTTCCAACTTGTCTTTCCTCCCTTGGGCGGTGATGATGTTCTTCTGGTTCACATTGGGTTTCCTTACGTAAATCATGCAGTTCTGGAACACGGCAGCCGCGTCGCCGAAGATGAAATCTATGGTGCCGGTGATTACACAACTTCGATAGAATTGACGGTGAGTGTGTGCGTATAAGGTGTCTTGGTACCCCTCGAAGCGACAGTTGAGGAAAATCGCCTTATCGGCGGAGACTCTCGCTGCCACTGCCTGATGTTTGTCGGGTCCTGCGGTGTTTCTGAATCCTATGCTTCGTGCAATAAATCCTGGAGCAGAAGCCACTGAAACATCACAACAACAACAAAAAAATCCCATTATATTTCCTTACATATCAATCTGTCATTTGTTTAAAATTTAAAAGTTGGACTGAAAATGAACAACTTTCGGAAATTAAGGAAGTTTTGTATAATTCCAAAGGTTAAAGTCATCGTCAATATACCAAAAGTTGCTGTATGGTAAGTGGGGATTCCATCAACAAAATTTTTTGCCCCTGTGATAATGGTCTTTTGTGATCCTTCACCATAAATGGTAAGGTTCACCATGCGTTTTGCAACGATTACAGTCTCGGCGTATGTTCCTTTCTTGACGAATATCACATACCTGCATACATGTTGAAAGTGGATAAACATCAATATCTATGAGAATTATAATGGAAATGATGAGGTGAATTCAATGATGGATCATTGTTATATATAGCATACCTTCCCACGTATTTCGGTGGCACGGCAGCAAGTGCTTCATTAATTGTTTTGAACTTTCCGGTACCGTCTTGAGCCACAATTACATTTGGTGGTGGTGGTGGTGGTGGCGTGTTATCTTCCTCGTCCTTCAACAGCCTGCGTTCTTCATGGTTCATCCAGCTGGGAAGCCCATCCTCGGCCAATAACGAAAATCTGGTTTGTAAGAGGCTGCGTTTTGGGGCTGGCTTCTTTTGAGGTGGATTCGTGACATTCGTCAACCCAGCAAAATGTCCAATCATGGCAAGGGAAATGCTAGTCGAAACCTCGCTAGAGTTGAGGGTAGTCCTGAACTCGTTCTTCAATGGTCCCTCAGGGAAGCCATCAACGCACGTTTCCTGGTACGCCATTACAGCGCTTAGCCAACTGTTCACGTCACCATCGGTTTCTGGCTTCCCTGGAACAATAGTTCCTACATTATCAACAGAACTCTGCAATTCTTCCTTGGCATTGTCCATCACTTCTCTACAAACATCGAACGCTTTTCTATCCGCCTCGGTATTCAATTTGATCGTGCTGGCTTTGGCAAAGGCCTTGTTAAGTTCTTCCGTCGTTGATGTGATGAAAGATTTCACAAGTTCTTTGGGCTCAGTCGCCGATTTTGGATTCTGTGCTAATGTCTTCGTAAGGGTTTCGGCACATAAGCTCTTGTACGTAGAAACCTCGCAAAAAGATGTTACTAATCCCTGGGGTGCGGCTAATGGAGCATGAGCCAGAGCTGCAAGTGGTACAGATAATGGTTTTGAAGATGGAGATGGAGCCGGGGCATGTGATGGTTTTTGAGATCGACCTTTGCGAGATGGTTTTGGAGACGGTTGTGAGTTTGCCGGTGGGGTTTGTGGAGTTGATGGTTTTGGAGACGGTTGTGAATTTGCCGGCAGGGTTTGTGGAGTTGATGGGGTCGATGGAGGATGTTGTTCTTTTGCTTTATTATTATCGCCTTTGTTTTCCTTTTTGTTACTATTGTTGGTGCTATTTTTCATAGAAACAAAAGCAACGGCTGCCGCCGCCGCAATACCACCAATGACCAAGATAGCTACGGCAATGATTATCTTCTTTTTGAGTGCCCGTTGTCTCTCCTGTCTCCGGCGTTCTTGTACAAAATCAAAATCTTGAAACACCATTTTTATCAATCTTTGGTTGAGGCAGAAAGAGAGAGAGAGAGAGAGAGAGAGAGATCTGCCTTAGGTTGAAGCCAAGGTAGAGAGGTGAATCAATAAACCCTCTGAGAATATACAAATATCCCAATGTCTCTTCCTACGTCGGCCTTGCACTTGTTCGGATTTTGAGGTTCAATCATAATACCATGAATGATACAAATGGAGAGGTTTCAGGCATTATATTTAAACGTTTGATATTACTTGCAAACCGCATTTCCCTCCATTTCTACCATTGACATTGGACTTGAATTGCTTTCAACCGCATGCTAAAAATGGCTGCTGTGTTAAATTTGGTCCAATTTTGGAAGGTTAATCAATTGTCGGCCTTGCATTGCTAAACATGGCCAAAAACAAACATTGCTTTCCTTTGTGGTTCTGGTCCATCGTTAAAGCTTATAAACTAACTTGATGTCTGTTGGCACTGGCTTTTAGGGTCATGATTACATTGCCTTGGAGACGACACCCTTATTCTGAACTACAAGAATTTATCTAAACTTCAGCCATTACTCAAATATTAAGAGAGAAAGGAAAACCGGTGGCGTTTAACCAGTTAACTCCGGAGATGAAATTCCGAGCAGTATAGCTTTGTGCCTCCGATGCATTGGTGATCAAACTATACCCCGTCCATGTAACCCTACTTGACATGTTAGCACCAGGGCCGGTGTTTTGATACTCCCGGTACGTCAAAGTGTTGAGTGCAAAATCACCATTCCAAGGGAACCAACCAGCGGGATTAATGACATCGCTTATAACGGATTGCATGATAACGGTTCTCGAATATTGCTTCCATGGTCTCCCTAAATAAGTTGGAAAATTGGCCTTCACGGCTTCTAAATCCCGTGTTGCACCGATCCTGCATTTCTGGATCACGATCCCGGTGTTCTGGTTCGGGTCATCGGGCCTTGTGCGGTGACCATGTTCCTTTGGTTCGGATTGGGTCGACGATAATGGATGTCACAGTTTTGGAACACTGCTGCCGCATTTTCGAATATGAAGTCGACGGTGCCTGCTATAAGGCATCCTGAATAGAACTGGCGAAGGCTGTGGACATAGAGAGTGTCCTGGTATGCCAACATGTCACACCTGTAGAATGCTGATAAATCTGATCCCACACGCAGTGCCACTGCTTGGTGCTTCGATGGCCCAGCCGTGTTCTGGAATGTTATATCCATGGCCAAGAACCCGTTCCCTACAGCAGCCGCAGCAATGTTTAAGTTAATAGAAATTGTTAAAATTTAAAAATCTAAAGGGGAAATTAGATGTTTTTACTCACCGACAGTGGAAGAGTTGAAAGTGGTGCTGCCATCAACGACATTTCTACTAGCAGTGATGAAGGTGTTGACCCTCCCATCTCCCACAAACATGAGATTGGGTTTCCTCCTTGGAACATCCACTTCCATTCACGGGAAAGAAGCATCCAACACAATATTTGCTATATTTGTTTTTAGGGTTTACAAGTTTGAAACATAGAATTTATGTAAAATGTTTTGCTTTGGTCGTGAGATAACTTCCATAAGGAGAAGGAAACTTTTTTTTTTGTAAGTGCAGAAATCAATGTACCGACAATATTTTCTAATATATGTAACGGTAGCTTACATTATGAAGCACCAACACAAGCTAAGCCTCGTTTTGAGGATCAGTCATCAGCAAGGCAGACTTGTAATCTAGTAAAAAGAAATTTTATTTTTTAAATTTTAATATTTGACTCTGATTTTTTGTATTTTATTTTCTTTCTCTATTTTAGAAATACTTTAAATATAGTATAATAATAAAATTATTCTTTAACGTATGTAGAAATGAACACTCTATTATTTTTTAGAGTATTTTATCTCTTTGTATTTTGATTTTTGCTCAAAACACACTTTTTTGGATGAAAACTGTTAGTTGACTAATAATCAACTCATGTTGCTGACGTAATATTTTATATATATATATATCTGATTGTTAACGTGACATATTTCATGTCATCACTTTAGATGACATAGCATATTTCATGTTATTACATCGTGACGTGGTAAGGTGACATAGTACATGTCATCACTTTGTATGATGTGACATAAACCTCATAAGTAGCATATGTTAATTGTTAGTCAACTAACGATTTTCATCCAATATAATTTGATTTGATCAACATTGAAATATTAAGGGGTAAAATACTCCAAAAAAAGAACAAGGGGTAAAATGATCATTTGTATAAACGTTAAGAGTAATTTTTATCATTATATCTTTAAAAAATAGATAAAAAGTTAAATCTATCAAACTTTCAATTCAACTAGTTGAGTTATTATATGTAGAACCATAAATTTTTATTAAGATCACACGTATATTAATAATATAATTTTTTATATAAGATATATACAAATAAAATTTAAAAATAAATTTAATTAGTAAAATATATAATTAATTGAGAAAAATCAAATTTTAAGATGCACAATATATAGAAGGTATGGATCCACCTTATAAATACTAACACATTATAAACAAAAAATTATATATATTTTTATTATAAAAATTAATTTTCAAAATGTATAAAAGTATTTTAAAACTTATAAAATATAAGTTTTTTTATTAATAATATTAAAATATACTAAATAACTGATATTTTTGTTGATATTGTTTGTTAAAAATAATAAAATTTGAATCCAAATCATAGCATCATTAAATATGTGATTCAGTGAAAAATTTAATGTTTTTTAAATAATTTTATGTTTTAACAATTTAAAAATATATTGTATTGCATTTTAGACGTTCTCCTACGATGATGAGCATCTTTGCTGTTACCAACGAATTTTCAAACACTAGGGATTATTATCCATGCAGCAATGGAGTTGGGATAAAGGTAGCGGCGGACCTAAAAGTTAAATAATGGAAGTTCAAAATTTTAGTATTTTATTTTAAAATTTTTAAATATGTAATTTTTTTATTTTTTTACTTTTATAAATAATTTAAATTAAATTAAATATTTTTTTTAAAATAATGAATGAACAATAATTCATAAGTAGTCGAGTACATCCCATCCAAGAAAGTGGATAGGGTTATTTAGCAAGGGCGGTGGTCAGGCACAGAGTGGCCAGGGCCTTTAAATTACCCATATTCATCCCTATAAATGCCCTACTGCTAAAAAATGGGGCCCACTTTGTCTTTGTAGTTTGTTCCTTTTCGTTGGTTGTTGCAGTTGAAAATAATTCCTTGTTTTTCCTTTCTTAAAGGGGCAGTCTTCTATTTGTGGAGTGGAGTTCTTAGATTTCTATGGTGTCAGCAGTTGAAGATGAAGAACTGAAGCAATGATGGTGAACTTTAAGTAAAATTTACTTGCTTTGCTTGCATCTGGGTGTCCATTAGTTTTTATATTCTCCCTGGAGTGATGCTTTGCCTAAAGGATGCAGCTTTGGATGAAGACCATCATGTTCATTCTCAAAGCCCTGAAAATAATAGCCTTGATGAGAGTGGAGATTACAATGGTGATAACGCCGGGGGTTTTATTTTACCAAAGTGGTGGGCTTTCTTCTTCAGTAGCTGTGTATTCTTTTCTTCTCTTTGTAATGGTAAATGTGGTATGGTGGATGCCTGGGTTGTTTTGCAGGGCAAGTTCTATTAATAGGTATTTGCAATGGAAAAGCGGCAAGGTTTGGAGCAGATCATTTTCAGCCGAGGATGACCCTTGTAACTCTTGTTCTGAGTTGGAGGTAATTTGCATTTCGCATAGCTAAGTTTCTGCTCCCGAGTGTACTTTTATGTAATTTTCAGAATGCAAATTACTATCTGATGAGTTGTTTACATTATTATGTAAGGAAGGAGATATTTATCGTGCCTATACAGTGACGATTCCTAGATTCTGAAACCCTGATGTTGTCTCAGGAGGATGCTAAGCCTCAGGAAAGGAGTAGACAAGAGAAAAGTGAGCAGATGTGTCATTATAAATACCAGCTTGAAGAAGTAGTAAGAAACTTTCTACATGTTTCTGCACATTCCCATTCTCTTTTGCAAGTTATAAAATGGACTTCTTTCACTTGATTTTAGTTTACTCTTCATCTGTTACTGTTGTAAAGTTCATTTTTCCTTGAAATTTATGATTTCTTGAGTTCAGGAAAGTGTGGAATGTTCTAAACAAGTGTATTAGGCAAGGCAGATGAATTTATGAAAGTTTTATAACCTGAAACTAGGGATAGACGAGATTAGTGATCTAGACATTTTCCTTGGCGCTATTTTTTTTTCTTTCTAAAATCTGTGGCAAGATGATTGTGCCTTAACCCACTAACTCCTCTTTGCTCAACATCACTGAAATCTTCATCTACATAAATCTTAAGCTTGTCAAAGGTTGATTCGGATTTATTCAACAACAAAGTGTTCGTGTTGCATTGTAGTAGAAACTTGACTGAGGGTGAACAAAGAGGAAACATGATTAGTATGAATGTGATTAGAAAGAAACACTTCTAATGAATGGTTATAGAAGTGCCGGGATTTTCTATTCAAGTTATGATTTTTTCCCCTTAAGAGGGCTAGTAACAACCAATCCTGTGCAGTATTGATATCTCTTGCTCATGCAACATGCTACTTCTAGGATAATACAGGTTAAAAAGTTGCAGCAACAGTTGCACGAAGAAACTGATTTGCACTTAGCTCTAGCAAGTGCTGTTGAATACTCTGGTTCACCTACATCTAATTCTCTCAGCAAGCTTCCAGACAAGGTCGGTGTCCCTTTGCATGGTTTCTCTTGTGTCTTTATGTTCTTTTTCTCAATCTCCTAAATTTGGATTTCAGGTCCAAGAGCTTTTAGATAGCATAGCTGTTCTGGAGATTATAGTGTCAAAGCTTGAGCAGGAATTTCTTTCTTTACAATATCAGCTTATTCAGGAAAGGAATGAGCGACGTCTTGCTGAGTACTATTTAAAGCATTATCCATGTCCCACAACATCACTTTTCGATTGCTCTCTGGCTTACTTAACAGAACCGGTACTATCATATATATCTTTTAAGTGTTATGCCAGTGATTTTGTGGCTTTTTATTAGTTACAATCCATTATCATGTTGGGTTTTCTTAGCCAACTTGTTCAGAATAATACATGCGCTGTACATTCCTCTACCAGATAGTTTCTCTTATTCTTCAGAGGTAAAGGGAAAGACCAACTGTCTACTTCATGTTTCAGATTGCAAAGCCTTGCAATGAAGAGGAAACAGAAGAAAACCTGGATGATATATTTCCATCAGAGGCTGCTATTGATGACAATTATAGTGTGGAGAACCTTTGGCATCATCCCAATCAGCTATCTGAAGAAATGGTCCTGCGTATAAGAGATATTTTCGTCTTCTTAGCAGATTCATCAAAGCATTCTTCATCAGAGTATATGGTGTCACCCGCTTCTCCTCACTGTCCCCTTGCAAATTTTTTGGAACCATTCTCGAACTCGTCCATTGTGACTTCCTTAGCAAGGACTTCCTCAGGAGGTAGTGCATATGATCCATATGGAGTCTTTGGCAAAGTCAACTGGAAATGTAGTATTGGGACCTACAGCACAGCAGTTGAAGTTTCACAGTTGTCTGTTGGAAAGAATGAACTTAAATATGCCACGATGGCTTTAAAAAGATTCAGGACAACTATTCGACTCATTTTAGACTAGTGTTCTATTCTTGTTTCATTGGTTTCGAAGCACTCACTCTAAAGCCTTTAGCAGAAAGTCTTTGGCAGTGAGCCTCACCGGTTGTTTTTATTGTTTCTCTTTGTTTTCTTGCAGATTGCTAGTTGAGCAGTTGGCTAAAGTGGATCCATTGCAAATGAGTTACAACGAGAAGTTGGCATTTTGGATTAACATCTATCATGCTTTGATGATGCATGTAAGAGACTTCTATTTATTCCCTATCTATGCATTCTACTCTCTTACACATACAAAAACAATATATAGACACATTCTAAGCTTCGATAAGTCGGGATTCAGTCAATATTTGGGGAGTCTTGGATAACAGAGGTGCACACAAGGTCTAAGGCCTTGGTTTCTGACACAATCCCCTGCATTTTCATGATGTCTTGATCAGTATTAAATAATTTACCAGTCTAGTATATATATTTATTCCCCATCCCCAAGACCGTTGCAGACTCGTTAAACAAATGTATAGCTTCGTTCGTTTGGAAGGGGAATTCGGATAGGGGTATACATTGGCTTAAGTGGGAAACAGTTTGTGGACCTAAGTCTCATGGGGGTTTGGGTTTCTTCGATGTAAGTACTAGAAATAGAGCCTTGCTTAATAAGTGGATTTGGCGATTTGGTGCGGAGAATGACAGTCTTTGGAAAAGAATAATTTCTGCTAAGTATAATTACACTCCTGATGCTCTCATTCCAAAAGTGGGTAACTCGAGTAAGTCTTCTTGGGTGTGGCGTGCTATCGTCAAGCCGCTAGTTTCCAATGAAGGAAATTTGTTTTCGGATTTAAAGTGCATTATGGGAAATGGTGCTAAAATTGATTTCTGGAATGATCATTGGACTGCCAATTTTTCTCTGAAAGATACTTTTGCTAGAGTTTTCAGATTGGCTAAAAAACAATATGGGAACCTTACTGAGTTCGGGATTTGGGAGAACGGTGTATGGGTATGGAGGATAGAGTTAAGGAGAAATCTGTTTGTATGGGAAAATTCTCTTTGGTCGAATTTTCTGTTGGTTCTTAACAGAGCAGTTTCTTCACATCCTACTCTTGATAGATTAACCTGGGGAGGATCTAATGATGGTAGGTACACACCTAAGTCTTATTGTTTGAAGGTGGCTACTGTAGGCAAAGTGGAAGACTCTATCTGGAAAACTGTTTGGTGCAAATTCGTCCCTCCTAAAATTTCTGGTTTCGTCTGGAAGGCAGTGTATCAAAGACTGCCAGTTACTTCAGAGCTGGAAAAACGTGGTGTGCGCTGCAATGATAATTATAATTGTTCTTTCTGCAATACTGTCCCTGAAACTATAAATCATGTTCTTTGCCATTGTGATGGTATCTGGAATGTTTGGCAAAAATGGTGTGCTGTGTGGAATATTAGCATTGTTTTTCCATCGAATGTAAAAGATCTATTGCAGGTGTGGATTTCCCAGAGGTTTAGAAAGAAATTTCGTTCACTTTGGATTATAGGGTTTTTTGGGTTGATCTGGCAAATATGGCTGTCCAGAAATAAAATCAGGTTTGAGGGTAGATCATTTTCGACTGATCAGATGTTTCACCTTGCTTTAGTTCAGATTGGTGTCTGGGCTAATTCGATCTGGCCACTGCTGATCCCGAGTGTTCAAGATTTTGTCCGCTGCCCGGAATCCGTACTGCTTGGCTGTTGAAGAAAGGTGTTCGAATTTGTAATTTGTTTTTAAAGCTGGTTACTATGTTTCGGTGCTTCTGTTCTCCTGTTTCCATATAGCATTTGCATTGTGCGTCTTCGGATTGGCCTGTGCTCTTCAGTAGTTGATGAGGTTGCTGCTTTAGCAGAGTCTGTCATGGCTTTCTCGTTCTATGCTTTCGTTTAGGCATCTAAATGTATACGAATCGATTTCTTCGATTTTAACCACTACAAGGTATACTCTTTTTCCTCCAATTTAGGTGCTAGGGAGGTTTTTTAATGAGATCCTTATGGTGGTATACCTTGTACTCCTTAATACAAAGTATCATTTTTCAACAAAAAAAAAATAGTTACCTCTTTTTAGGTCTTAATTGAATTAAATGTCTGATCCCCCCCTTCTATCTCCGCTTCTCAGGCGTATTTAGCATACGGAGTTCAGAGAAATGATATCAAACTATTTTCCTTAATGCAGAAGGTTTGATGGTGTAACTTTTCCTTGCCCCTCTACAGTTTCTCTCTCCCTTTTTTTTTCCTTTATGCCACTTTGTACAGATGCTAACAGCATGGCATGATGACATGCAGGCTTCCTATACTGTCGGAGGACTCTCGGTGTGTGCAGCTGACATAGAATGCACTGTACTGAAAATGAACCCTTCTACTTATCAACCGCAAATTGTATGTATTAATTATACCTTTTATTGGAAAATTTCATGATGCAATAGTAGCTTTCTTTCTCTAGACATATAACTTCTGGTAACACTTGCACTTCAGAAATTCAGCCCTTCTAACGAGCAGCAAAAGTATATAATCGATCATCCAGAGCCTCTTCTACGTTTTGCTTTAAGCTGTGGGTTACATTCTTCTCCAGCGGTAACTTCTCATTCCTCCTAGTATTTTGAGTATTCACTACATAAAGCATTGTAATTAAACTTCTACTTGATATGAATGGCTTCTAATTGTACTGAGTTGGCCTACTGTACTTAATTTGTAATCAGGTGAGGATTTTCACGCCTGAAAATGTCATCGAGTTGCTAAAAAGGTCAATGAAAGAGTACACTCAAGCATCTGTTGGTATAAGTAACAAAGGGAAACTATTGGTGCCTAAATTGTTGCATTGCTTTGCCAAAGGAGTTATCAAAGACTCGCTTTTACCTGATCGGATTTGTCGATTCTTGACGCCGGAGCAGGCTTCCAAGGTTAGAGACTGCTTATCACGTAATAAGAACCTAACCTGTGGTCGGAGCTTCTCTATACTACCTTTTGATTCGAGGTTTCGGCTTATCTTCCTATTGGATGGTGATGGGAACTCCTTTTCCTCTACATCATAAGACCAATCATGCTTATAACTGCTAAAGCAGGCAAGCAATTCTTCAGCATAACAACTGTTCCCATGCTGTCTACTACCCTGTAATGTGTAAATGCATCGCATTGTATAGTAGTGTTATGCTTTCCTGCCATGAGAGAAAAAGGGGGGGGGGGATCAAAGCCAAGAATCCACCCTTTTTATATAGCAAAAGTAAAACGGAAATTTCTTCAGAATGCCCCTTTAATGAAAGCAGATGAAAATAAGTTTTCTTTATAAAGTAAAAGAGAAAGGAAAACAAATGTAATACTATAACAAATGGGTAGAAATTTCTTAAATAACAATTAAATAATTCTCAACAGATATTAATTGGTATTCAGATTATTCAGAAAACAAATTCCTAACTGTTACTTATAAGCATTCAGACCTTACAAAAAAAATAATATGTCAATTTTCAACCTTCGATTCATACCTATGTCAAAAATTATACTTTCACTGTATCAGATATTAATTGTTGGAAATAGTATCATTTCCGACAATATACCATATATAATTGGACATTCATAATGAAAATAAATAGGTGCACATATGAAAAAAAAATATTACCAAAATATGAGCAACCGAGTTAAATTATACTTCATCGTATCGAATCAAAATCAAGATAATAAAATATTTAGAGTGTCTCTTTGTGCTCCCCATTCTTTTGATATGTGAAGTAATGCTGAAAATCATTCCGCATAAGTTTGAAGTGACCAATCTTAAATATCTAAACTCAAATTCTTATAACTTTTAATATCTAAATTTTTAATTTTTCTCCCTTTAACTGTCCTTTTCACTCTCGGTCACCGAGGATGAGTTTTTAACGAAGGATGAAAGGGACGACAGGAAGAGAAAGAGATTTAAGATTTATGTATAGGTTAGGAAAGATTCTAAGAATTTTGATCTTAAGAATTAGAGTGATAATAAGGATGATGACTAGTAAACTGGAGTGTGACAATAAATGAATGATTGTTCGGTGATGACGATAATTGTTGATAATAATCGATAATAGTAATAAAAGATCGAGAATATTTTCTTTTAGAATCTTTGATATTTTTTTATTGTGGTTTTAATGAGATGTGAGGTTCTAAAAATTTCATTTTTTTTAAAGGTATATAGATAAAAGCATATTAATAATTTATTTCAGAATAATAAAAAAAATGACAGAGATATATAATTTCATGTATAATAGCCTTAAAATATCATTTCATCAACAGCTTGGTTTCATGTATAATAGACACGTGTGATAACAAACAAGAAACCCAACCACCGCCTTGGGATCGGTTTACTTTGACTTTTTCATCCCATCTTGGTCTGCATGTAGTAACAGATCAAAATTAGCAACCAAAGGAAAGGTCAAACGAAAGGTGAAGGCAAATTAAGGTTTCCATGGAAGGGGAAGCTGGTTCTTACGAGGAAATTAAGCCAAACGTCGTAGTTAAACAAAGTAATGGCGATGTCGTCGGTGATAATGACGTTGGGAATCTGGGATCCTTTGAAACCCCTGATTTTCTTTCCAAGAAAAATTTTCCAAACTGGTATGGTTTTTTATTTTCTTTCGACGGAAAGGAAGAGAAATCTTTCCATATATGAGTATTATTTGACTTCTGTTTAAATATTGCCGAATTTTGGTTTCGAAAATGGAAAGGTTTCACTTTGAGTTGGTTATCTTAATCATGTGCAATTCAGTGCTTAATTAAGTACCCTAATTTCATTTGTTAAGGATAATTATTTGGCAATGATCTATCTTTTTCCTGCTAGGCTATTTTATCAGTGCAGTATGTATACAGAATATAGTAGTAGTATTGTTTGTTCTTATTAAGATATTGAATGGTTGAAAGGTGACCCCTGCTTTGCATATATTGAGAATATAGTAGTAGCCTCAGTTTTTATTGAGATGATGCTTGGAACTTGAAAGCTAACCCACACTTCTTTTTTTATCTGGTCATGTAGTGGTCCTTAAAAAAATGTGATTTAATAAGTCCTGGTGAAGCCAATTTGGTCTTGGTTTAATGATAAGATTGAGGTCCACTTTGATCCAGGTTCGAGTCTGTCATATGAGAACTATGTGTGACAATCAATCAATGGTTGTTCTTATAAGGATCGCATGACAGTGTCTCTAACTGTACAATTAACACCAGGGCACTGTACTGGTTTGGAGAAAGTCAGAGATTGGAGAAAAATAATGTTTGGAAGTGCTTGTACTTGTATATTGTGTTCCTATGACAAGCTTCTATGATGTTATCAATTTTTTTTTCTTGTTTTTGGTGAATAAGTTCCGTAGCAATGTCTGCATCTGGACTAAATACCACAAGCCGTGCTCCATCCCAACTCACCGTCTTCTATAATGGAAGTATTTGCGTGTTTGATGCAATTCCAGCAGAAAAGGTTGACTTCTTTTACTCGAAGATGCTACTAAGTTTTAACAGGAGGAGCTATCATTTCAAAATTCACCATTGATTCATGTCCGTCAGGTACGGGAGATTATGCTTATCGCTGCAACTGCTGCTAAATCTGCTGACATGAAGAATGTCGCAACTGATCATGCCACCACTTCACCTGTTCTTACGAGGTCTCCTTCGCTTCAAAGTGCTGCAACTGCAACTGCTTTGGCTTCACCACAGGCACAAGTGTATTCTATTAACAGGCCCACCTTCTGCAAACTGCAAGCTGGTAACTAACTTATCTGGAAGACGGATGAATTTCAAATGTAAATATTCTATGGTTAATCGTTTTAGTGCATGTTAGCTAATATAGCTTGATGTGTTTGTAAATATCTATTGGATCAGAATTACCAATTGCAAGGAGACACTCCCTTCAGCGATTTTTTGAGAAGCGACGGGACAGGTACTCCTTACATTCTGAACTACCATTTTCATGTTTAGACTTATGATCCAAAGCATTCATGATATTGCGCTTTATAAATATAGTAAAATGATGTTATATGAGCGTTTTTACTTATTGTTGTGATATACTTTGGATAAAAACCAACTATTAACTATCTAGAATTTGTGCCAAACTTGGGGATTGGGGAGTATAGTTGAGGTGGTAACTGTTGCCATATGTTTGTTTCTTTTTGCAGGCTGGTGAATAGGAACCCATATCCTAATCCATCAACACCAAAATCATTTGACGACACCAAAGCTAACCTCGGTGTTGCAGCTTCACCAGAATCAGGTTGCTTTGGTAAATCACCTGTTACTCAAGAAGAATTCCAACCAAGAGCTACAGCCCATGCTGCCTAAGCCAAACATATATGAATCCTTATATATATATTTGGCAAAAACTAAATGTAGCTGTGTTATCATGTTGAAATGCAAAGTGCACTAGGACAATGACTTTGATGTCTTTGGAATCGATGTGGATTGTAAGAGTACAACTCAAAATTGGTATCGTTCTAGGTCTTTCTATTATTTCCTATTGCCTCTAGGGGATATTTGTGATGTCCATAAAACCCGGTTACCATGTCTGTTATATGTCTGACAATCGACCGACTAAGCTGATCTAGGATTTGCTATGCATGTAAAGTTGACTTGGTTGTTCTTTTCGTATGTGATAACGTGAAGACTTATCATTTGTGTGATCTTGGTGGAACTTTTGACGTTGCATTGTTTTGCAATTAGCATCATGTGAGTCTACAGAGCTTATATAATAGGAACATATAAACTGGGCCAGCGTTTATACGCACCATGCACAACAGTTGATTGAAGAAAAAGATAATGGATGAACCAGGCCTGGACATTTTCATTGATGGTATGAAAAATGGGCTAAATTGAAAAACCCGGTAATGGGTCCGACAGCATCGAGATCCGAGTCTCTCTGTCAGGAAAAAGGAGATCGTAATTAACGGCATTCTTGTCCTTACAGTTTGGAATGATGGTTTTATTATTTTCTGTTTTGGGGGTTTATAGGAATCTCGGCTCTCGCCTCTTGGACATTTTGACTTCCAATAAACCACAGACATTAATCTGACTGAGACCAATGCCAAAAGAAAAGAAAAAGGAGGTGAACAGATTCCTCAACGAGGAAGGAAACAAAAGAGAAAAAAAACTCTGTTTATCTCTTTCTTTCGGTTGCTTTTGCTTTATATTATACAGGTCAGCAACCCAACAGAGCCTCCTCAGACTCCCTCCTTTGACGTCGGAGCGCCCTTCTTTTTTCTTCTTTTCTTTTACTCAACCAGGGCTACGTGTGATTTCACTTTCTTTTATGGTTAAAGTGCAATAAACAATAAACAAAATCCTTGAGCTTTTAACTTTCACGGGACGGCCCGACCCAGAATCCAAGGCACCCTTCTCTCTCTGTTACGGTGTTACCATATACTGACCTTGTCTTGCAGACTACTCTTCCTTGTAGAGCTTAGAGTTAAAGAGTCAACTCAGTAGATTTTGTTTTGTTTTGCTTTAGCTTTTTCTTTTTCTTTTTCTTCTCTCTCCGCTCGTGTGTGGGTGAGTAATGCGAGCCTATTAGTGTGTGAGGCTTCACCTTCACTTTTGTTTTCGTCGGAGTATAAATCTTTGATTTTGCCCTTTCACTCTTATGCCCTCCATTGTCAACGCTTACGAAAAGAGGAACCCCGTGAAATTTATTACCTCCCTTCTTCCTCTAAAGCCCGTTTACTTTCCTCTCTTTTGTTTTTTGGGACTGTTCCAATTTTCACTAAGCTTCACTCAACGCTTCCCCTTCAGCTTCATATCACCAGGTACATTTGATTTTTCCTTTATCTTTTTTACCTTTCTGTCCTCATCTTCTTCCATATCAACCTCGTTTCTGATTGTTTTTATCAAGTTTTAAAATAAAAATAGAAGAGTCTAATTGCAAAATGGAAATTGATGGTATTTAACTCAAATTTTACCCTTTTAACAGTATATTGCGTTTCCCCCTCTTTAGTCTATGGCATCCCGTGATTGTTGCTCTTTTAGTAACTTTCCTGGGAAAATTTACTCTCTGCATTCATTGAAGTGAAATTGGGTGGAGCTGATTCGTGATTTTGTTGGACCCCTTTTGGGGAAAAAAGGAAATTTTTATGGCCCTTTTGAAAAAAAAGGAAATTTTTATGGCCCTTTTGTCCCAAGTTCTAACCAAGTTGTTATGATGCTGTCTCTTCTTTAATAGTAGTACTATTCTTTGCATTTCTTTACCCTACTTTTTTTCCCGAGAAACTATTCGGTGTTAATATGATGAAGAGGTTAAGAAAAGGAGAGCCTCTTAGTGCTTTCTAGTCATGTATGGACCTTTAATGCTTATGTTAGTTAGGTTGTCAATTTTTCCCTAATTTTTAATTGATTTGATGTTCAAGCCTTATTTGCCTTGCTTCATATTTAATTGATTTGATATTCAAGCCTTATTTGCCTTGCTTCATATTTTCTCTACGATGTGGATAAAATTGAAAAAGAATTTGTATTTTGATTCATCTGTTTAATGGTATAAATGATAATCGATAGTAGTCTCTTATTAATATGTTGTTGTCCTCTATTTATCATTGCAGGTTATTTTCTGAAATAGTCTGACGATGGAGAAGGCTGATGGCTGCATTTCATGGCCATCTAGGAAGAGAAAGTTGCCTCAAGAAGGCAATGATATGTTGAACTTCTCCTTGGATGAGCTCACTGATGACCTCCTTGAAAGGGTCCTTTCGTGGTTACCAACCTCGGCCTACTTTCGCCTCGGTTCAGTGTGCAAGAGATGGAAATCAGTTGCTGCTTCTGAAAGTTTTAAGCTGGCTTGCTCTAGGATTCCTTCAAGGGAACCTTGGTTTTTCATGGTGGATGCCAATCTTGATCAATCCATTGTCTTCGACTCTGCTGAAAGAAGTTGGAAAAAACTAAATCATCGGCCTCTACTCTCGAATAACTGTAACTGCAACTCCATCCTGGTTGCAGCAGCTGGTGGGCTTGTTTGTTTCCGCAAAATGTCCGGTGATTACTTTGTATGCAATCCTGTGACAGGATTGTGCCGGGAACTCCCTCCAGTGAATCCGGACTCTCATGATCGTCCCCTTCATGCTATTGCAATGAACGCATATTCCAATTACCATGGCTACTACAAGCTAGTCTTAGTCTCTGGTGATCTTTCAAAGCTGTCGTTCAGAGTTTATAACTCTAGTGCTGATTGCTGGGAAGAAGAGATTATGTTAAGGAGAAAAACCGATGATTGTACCGAATTTGATTCGGCTGATGACAACGATGATGCTGTGTACTTCCTTAGCAAAGCTGGAAACGTGGTGGCAACTAACATGCAGAGAAGCCCATCCAAGCAATATTCATCAGTTATGACTTCTAAAGATGGTGAAGAGATTGTTTATTTCCTCAGCTCCTCTGGAACAATTGTGGCTTGCAATCTGACCCAAAAGCATTTCTCTGAATATCCCAGACTGTTGCCCGTCTTTTTTGAGTACTCCATCGATGTGATGGAGTGTAAAGGAGAGATTTTGGTTGTTATGTTATCGGAATTCTTTGAAAGTGCAAGCCTAAGGGTGTGGAGATTTGATGAGAAAACAAAGACCTGGATTCAGATTGCCAGCATGCCTCCTGCAATGTCACATGAGTTTTATGGCAAGAAAGTTGACGTAAACTGTGCCGGGGCTGGTGACCAGCTATTTATCTGCTTAAGCTCTGCTGAGGTTTGCAGTTATGTTCTTTGTGACATCGTGGCTAACGAATGGGTTGAACTGCCCAAGTGTTGTATGAATGGTGAAGCCATGGACTTTATGTCTGCTTTCTCATTCGAGCCAAGGATTGAAGCTTCTGTATGAACACTTGTTGTGGAATCTGCGATGTTTTGAAGGATATGATAATGCAGTCTGTGGTTCCTTTATCTTTGCATAATTTATTTTGTAATTGTATTCGTTTAGAGCATTGATATTTTTCTCTTATTTGAATTGTTTAAGCAGATCAGTCCATTTGCTGAATGTATTAATTAATGAGTTAATGTTATTAGACTACTGGTTTCCATATACAGAATTCTCTTCTTTATTTGGGATGCTAATGTCTCTCTTATCAAATTTTATTGGTTTCTTGATACAGTTGGAACTTATACAAGAACGATGATCACTGATCTTTACACTAGATCATCAGAAAATAGTTGTCAACGATTCGAATAATAATTTGCAAGTTGGCAATGCTATGTCACCACCATTAGTATTTTCGGTTTCTACTATTCCAACGTTCAGACCACGTTTTCGTCACTGCAAAGGCATGCATCCGAGAAAGTTATCTGAATGTTTGATTAAATCGAATTCGAATCTCATGTTAGCAGCTTATAAACCTGTAAACTGTGTGGCATTGAGAGCAAGTGAAAGGCATTGGTGGTGTTTTTTTATGCTTCACTCTAGGAATAGTGGACCAGGAAGCATGCTAAAAAGCATGGGCATGTCTGAAGGTCCAGCGCTTGTTTGCAAAGACTGGGTATGATCATGATGTTTCTCGCATTGTCTCTTCACCCTTCACGTTTCTGCATCATTACTCCCAAAACCATCTCTTTGTATCTTTTCCTAATAAAGATCTAAGCCATATGATTGCAAATTTAAATAAATATCATCGCAGTGGGTTGGCGTTGAAGATCGACTGTCGAAGCCTAAAACCAGGATACAGTGACCATAACCCAACGCTGTTTAGTTCTGCATAAAACTCATAGTTTCTTTCTCGATGCCTATGCCGGTTGAATGGTTCCACTTCCACAATATAAAAAACATTTGTATTTTCCAATAACAACTATGTCAATTAAACTAATAAGACTTAGATCAAGTTTTATCACTGTTGACAGGCCGATTAACAAGATCATTGTACTAAATGGCACTATTTAACTGAAACTTGATAACATGTAATGTGTAATACAGAGTTTAAAATGAATAAATATTAAATTTTGTTATACTCAAGGTATAGTGAAAAATACTATATACTAAAAATATATTTATATAAAATTATTCAATGAATGTTATTATATCACGCAACAAAAATATTGACCATCAGTTTGTTGCCAATCGACCCTCCAAAAAGTTTTTTAAAGAAAAAAATGAAACATTATGATTTGTCAAAGAAAAACATTATGGGATCAATTGAGAACAGTGACAAACATTGAGGGCCTTTCTTCCATTATGCCAAAAAAATCTTGAAAATATGAAGAACAAAAACAAATTTTTTGAATTTAAAGGATGGGCCATTTCCCCCATGACTCAATGTTTTAATAAGGTGGGCTAGCTGCTCGGATTGGGAAGGTCGTAAAGGCAAACCGAACGTTGGACTGCTTAGTTAAAGCCTCAAGTCGAAGTTATGTAACAGCCTATAATTTAACAAAGTCCTACAATTTAAGAAACTGCAAAAGGTAGCAGAATCGGAATAAAGAAACTGCAAGTTTAGAATTTGACTCAAATTAGATCTCTTGAATGTCATCATGTAAGGATGAGGATAAATGAAATAGGTTAAGCTCGAAAAATCGTCTTTTATAAAAGAAAATAATCAGGATATGGCAACAAACTGAGAAGGTCAGGTTGCAATAAAAACAAATGCATCTATGTCTTGAGGAAATGTACCCTGTGCAAGTGAATCAGCACCCACATCAGTAAACTTGGTTCCAGCGTCACTTTGTTCAAATCAATTGAAATTTGCTTAGCAATGGTGTTTTTGGACGGGTTTTCAATGCCTCAAATTGAGCCAAGCCTCCTATATACTCACAGTAAATGGTAAAAGGTGGAGTGAAGAGGATGATATAAACAGAAAATTCCGCAGTAAGATGCCAGATGTTGAAGCATTTGTTTATCTTATGGATAGCCCATTGCGTCTTTGATTTGAATGCATGCATGCGGCTGATGAGTATGATATTTACCTTCCTGCATGCATGCCGCCTCTCACCATCAACTCCTATCATGTGCTTGCATTCAAATTTACATTTCTTTTCCAGTATTACACCTCAAATCAATGACAGAAACGGATAGATTTTCAATTATGATAAGATTGAAAGATATCGGAGATTACTGCACTGCAGTTTTCTCTGTGGTCATCCTTTTTCACTTTATATTTCACGGAAAAGACACTGGTTTGGCATGGAATTGGATCGGTGATGCTGGATTTTATTGGCTGCAACTTGTCATTCAGAAAACCATAACCAAAGTTGTGTTGCAGTAGCATTATGTTGTTGGTGGCAGATTGAAAAATGGAAAATGGTCCCACCGCCACGTCCTGCACCCCCACGCCCTTCCACTTATGGCGGAAGTGACCATACACTTTCGGGGTAAATGTATCGTGGTCTATTGCGAAGTACACCTTAAACTCCTCTAAATTCAATTCAATGAGTGAGAGAAGAAGACAATTCAATTACCAGGATCTGTTTAGTAAGCTGAGATAATTCATTTTGAGAAGGAAACTTAAATAACTTGAACGACAAGTAATTAAGAGCAAGAGATAACATTCCAAAATGAATATGTATGGTATTCAAGTATTACAGGTCCACAGATATACAACAAGATGAAAAAGGGAGGGATGATTTGAAGATAGGCATGCAGACTTTTTCAAGCAAAACGGTTTCAGAATGATTGTGGGTCAAGTTGTATGAATATATCAACAACTTGCCCATTTAGGTGGATTAGAATTAAAGAACAATGTAAATGGAGATAAAGTTTAGAGATTACAGCAGCGTAAGTGTGAAAGTGAGAATAGGAGAGTGAAGGCGAAGGAAAGGCGCAGGCTTTTTGGAAAGAAAAAGAAATGACAGTTGTCTCTTTCTCTGCATTACCACGTGGCAAACTGCCTCTGATGGAGCCAAGTTTAAAACACGTGGCATTACTTTCTTTGCATTACCAAGTGCATTAAGACGTTTTCGATGGCCAAATTCGGTGAAGGTTTTAGTGAAACACCGTCACAGACGACCCAGCACCAACCCCAACCACCACCTCAGCAACATAAGATGCAGGCTAGGAGGAGACCAGACCTTAACAAGAGAGGCTGCTTTATGGCCGAGGTAGGTGAGAAATTGTCACTGCACTCAGGTTCATAGAGCTTCCATGAAACATGCAAATGATTAACAGAACCTACAACAGCAGCAATTGTCCCATACCTCTCATCTTCCATCTCCACCATCTTTTGAACAAGAACCAAAGACAAAGTCTAGGAGAAATCCTAGGATATTATACCCAACAAGCACAAGCAACTTGTCTAATTATAATTTAGACAGTTTTTCATCTTTCTCTCAACGTTACCATCCTCCTCTCCTGTTCCTGCAAGTCCATATTCTTGGCCCTCTCCTCACCAGATTTTCTTCCTTCTCCCATGGATGAGAAATTGTCACTGCACTCAGGTTCCATAGAGCTTCCATGAAACATGCAAATGATTAACAGAACCTACAACAGCAGCAATTGTCCCATACCTCTCATCTTCCATCTCCACCATCTTTTGAACAAGAACCAAAGACAAAGTCTAGGAGAAATCCTAGGATATTATACCCAACAAGCACAAGCAACTTGTCTAATTATAATTTAGACAGTTTTTCATCTTTCTCTCAACGTTACCATCCTCCTCCTCCTGTTCCTGCAAGTCCATATTCTTGGCCCTCTCCTCACCAGATTTTCTTCCTTCTCCCATGGATGCTGCCAATTTTACACTGCCAAACCAAACCTTAGGCCTAAACCTCAACCTTCAAGATTTTAACACCATAGACACCAGCCTTTACCACAAAAACAACAACCCATCAATATATTCATCATCATCTCCATCATCTTCGTCTTCGCCGACTGTCTCAGTTGTAAGCAAAGAAGTTCCTTGGGTTGCACTTTCGTCACGTGAAGTGGGGACAGGAGCTGTGGCGGCTGGTGGAACTGAACCCTACGGTGGGGGAGGACTGCATCAAGCTATGGATGATGAGAAAATGGCGGAGATCATCATTAGGAGAGCAGCATCAGATGGAATGGGACGACTCCGTGAATTTGGTATCATCTGCATGGTGGTTTAAGTTCTTGAAGATGATGGAACTGGGGGCACCCGAGGTGAAAGCGGATGAGGAGGATGGGTATCAACCGTTTGATGAAGAAATCCCCTGCCTGGTTGAATGCAAGTGACACCTACTTACAACACCATTTAACTGATCTTGCCCTCGTGGCTACTTCCTACTTCCAGGATCCTGCCTTCCCTTGGTAAGAATCCAAACTAAAAAAAAAGTTCAGAAGAAAGTATATCAATTGAGGAAGTAACAAGTTTACAATACAAATGGAAAAATGATAGCTCCATGATGTTGATTACACAGCTAAAAGGAAGAGTTTCATCTGGACGGGAATCTTTAACTACAAAACCTATCTTTCTGCTTAAGTTTCATGGTCGGAGGATCCACCCCAATAGGATTTTAATATCCATTTCTAACGTTAATATACACTGTGGTTACGTCAATTAATAAACGTGGAAAATAGATATTTTAGAAAAATACTAAAATGAAAGATAAAAATAATGTAATTTTTCGTGATCGTTTTAGATTCTGCAATCAATGGATGTTTGTGACTACATAGTGTTTTGAATTTATGACGTCAGGAAGACAGTGACCAGCTATATAGGATCTTGTAGGCACTAGATGGTTGAACAAAAAGAGGAGAGATCGTTCATGGTACATGACATGAGTCATGTCCACTATCCATTACATATAAATAATTGGTTGGTTTTATCGTTGGCGGAGGACTAATTGTGATGATGCACATGCAGATGAGATGTGGCCAAATTTTCAGACGTTGCTTTCACCTCTTGAATTCTCGAGGATGCAGCCATTTACTCTGCGGATGCTCTGATTCATCATTGGATAGCTCCGTATTAGCAGTAATCACTGCCTTTTCATACCTCAACTGAAACCCCTCATATCATATGATCCAATCCAACCTAACAAAAAACACATGTTGGGTCCGAGCAGACGATATCTAATTATTTCACTGATTTGCATCTCCTCCTCTTACTGTGATATTCTTTTTTTAAATTAATCACTG